CTCCACGTCACCATCATCCTCATCTCCATCACCATCCTAGACCCCCTTACCTTCTCCTGCCCCTCTCCAGATAACCCCCGCCCCCAGTCTAACTCCTCGTCCCTACTCCATCAAGCATCACCACCCTACTACACTGAACCTTGCTAGGTAGAAAAATCTTTGAGCTACTCGATATTCAATGTAAAACTACTGCGCAGCTTAACTTGCAAGCATTAAAAAGAACTGTGCCTGTGCAGACAGGAAGCGTGTCGCTAGCGAGTAAGTGATGTAGCGCCGCGGCGGACCCTGACTGTCTGTGGGCGTGCCACAGGGGAATGGAGGCAGGGTCGAGTGAACTAGACTGAATCTATGACCTGGTTTCGTCGTGTACAGCAAGCAGGGGGGTGGATGATGGCTGTCTATGTCACAAAAAAGCAAATGTCTGTACTTTAAACCACACATTTCCCTGAAGGTAAATGGATGATTTGAGCTGAAGAAGTTAAGGAAGTTAAGAAAATGTAAAAAAGAAAAAAAAAATGGAATAAAACTGATGTTTGGGTGTAATTGTGGCTAGTCTTATCCTGCTCTATTGCTCTGCAGCTGTTATGTGGATAGCTATGAATTCATTTTAGAGGCGCGTAATGGGTTTGCTGTTACCGATCGGCCTGTTATTGACTTAGTTTCCATTCACCTTACAGGCACTTCTGTATGTAAGTTTCTGCAATGCACTGAACTTTTATTTTTTAAATCCCTGAGCAGGTTGAAATAAAAGGATTGGAACACTGAGCCAGCTGTGATAATTTGGTCTAGTTCACCCTCTTGATCAGATGCATTTTTTGAACAGTTTTCTGTATGTATATACACCTTAAGACAACTACAGGCTCTCTCTGCTGTATGGAACAACTTAGCCTCGCTTTTTATATCAAAGAAAAGTTCCCTCACTTACAGCAGTCCTAACTCCTTTTGTCGCACCTGTTCAAGCCACAGTGTTGAGGTCTCACATTCACTTGTAAATTTTTATTATTATTCTCACTGCTTATTACTATTATTGATATTAATTATAGGATGGCTGCTTTGAATCCCTAGTAGCTTGACAACAGCATTGTAAGAGTTATGTTAAGTGTCATTGAGCTTCATAAAATGGAGGTCCTTCAGAGGCCTCCCAAGAAATAATTCCTGATTGTTTGATAAGTTAAGAGATTTTCCCCCATGTGTTATAAAACCCTTAAATCTCAAAATGGCCTCCCAGGTAGCTGTTGGTGTTTAAGTAAAGTTGTAAGTGAAATAAAGTTCACCTAAAGTGTTTTTTGTCAGTGCTCCCCCCCCAGAAATTGACTTTCACGTGCAATAAGATTAAAATACCAAAACTTATTGATACTAAAGTAAAATATAAAATTTGCTATTCTACTGTAAGGATGGAAATTAAACTGAATTTGTAATATCTTTTAAAAATGTATCAGTTCAATAGTGTTTTATGATTTAACACTGGTACAACTGGTATAACTATTGTTTTGGCACATTTTGGACTACAGACAAAACCTCAACAGTGGTCTGGGAGGACGTTTAGAGATTAAGGGGTTTGTGTAACAAATTGAGGGGATGTCATGTTGAATAAAGAGAGTCGCAGGGGATATGGAAGCGGTTTTTGGTTTGAAGTGGTTATTATAGAGCTCTGTTTGTCACTTTGTTCCTTTTGTTTGACTGCCATGAAGCGCATGTCATAGTGTAAGCTGGAAACAGATTCTCACCCTTTATATAGGCTGTATCATATTCTTGACCCTGACTTTTGTTTAATATGATTATTACTTGTGACTGTTTCAATGGTGTTTTTCGAACTCAGTAAAAACCATAGTCATATGTTAGCAGTACTGCTCCGTCTCCATATTGTTTTAAGGGATGAATATATAGAAGGATATGAGTATGTTAGTGTTGCTGTCCATTTCATTGTGCCCCGAATTAAGTTTGCACGGAGTAAATGTCCCCCTGAATACTGAATAGCCAACAGCCCCTCAATGCAGTAACTACTCCAACTACGTCTGCCTGTGTACTGAATGTTTTCTCTGGTGGAACATTCCTCCTCATGCATGCCCGCCACTGTGTGTCGCCTCACGGATGTACTGGTCGACCCCCTCGTGCATGCTGTCTCATTCAGACTCTGGGTGTCAAAGCTCAAAATATGCAACATTTCTGTTGGAGATGCTAGCTGTTAGCCCCACCCACACCCCTTTAGTTGGGCAGGTTACGGCCCAGGTGCTTGGTGCTCGTGTTGTTGAGCTGTCTGCTATCCTAATGTTGAGGTAAGCAGCAAAACAGTTTTCGGGGAGGGGTCAGGCTGGACACAGGCTGATGATGTTATTATACATCATATTTATTTACTAGAATGTGGAGGAGTTGCATATTGTAGCTTTGAGTTGTCATTTTCATCTAAAAGCTTAACTTTACACACTGGAGCACATTTGTGTTAGATGTTTGGTTTACATTCATTCAGTTTATTTTAAGGGTCAGTCCAAACAAATTACAAAAGTCACATGTGTATATACTGGTCTCTGTCTGTTACTGTGTTCGGATTCATTTCAGAGATTTGTTGTGGAAGGTGTTTTAAATTTACAGATTACACATGAACACAGGTTGTCAATCAGTTCACGCAAATCATATTGACACAAATCAATCTCCATACACAGACACATTTGGAACTCTTCTTGCAAGAGTGAGCAGCACAAACTTTATTCCATCAATGTCCATTGCATTAGGTGGAGGTGGAGAGCTCAGTTTCATGTGACAACTGAGAAAAGTAAGTTACAAATGTAACCATGGTTCTCTGAATTCACTTAATTCAAAATCCATATTTGTGAGATTTCTTTATTTTGGTTGAACTGACCCTTAAATATTCAACCAGCTACCTTCATGCTGAACCATTCTGTCAGTCTGACTTTACCCCACAGTGTGGCGCTATGAAAGCTCATTAGCTTCCCATACACACCTTTGACTTAACTTCAGGAAAGGCCCTGTTACCTGTTAGTGTGCTACTAAGGCTGAACAGATTTTCCATATAATAGTTGGGTATTTCTTTAGAGTGTAATATATAACATGAATTAAACCTGTTCCCTCGCAGCATGTTGCTTTCCTCCTTTTCCTGTTTGTCCCTGTGTTCTCATTGGGTATGGGAGTGTGTGGCAGGAGTGTGTTTGACTTTTTTTTGTCTCGGAGAGTCTTGTTTTGCATTCAACTCTTTACTGGTTTCTAGACGTTGTTCACTAACATCAGCTCTGTTTTGTATTAGCTATGACTTTGGTTCCGATTTTTGAAGCTTTGGGAAAGATGTCGCAGGAAAAAAAAAAAAGAAAATGTAAAAAAAAAAGTATGTGGTCTCTGTACTGATGTCAAAGTGAAATTAATAAAAACACGTCAAAGGACTGTGGCTTGGTGGATCCGTTCTCTTCTCTCTGGGTAAAGAGCATTAGAGGGGCCTTGAGAAAAACAACAAATATTTTCCCAGCATGCCAGCAGCGTGGGAGGACAGAAGATTAAAAAAATGCGCCCTGATGAAATATTTAAAATAAGAAGATTTGACTTGAGGCTGCTGTCTGTTATGGTGTTTGGGTGGAGAGGGGATTATAGTTTCTAATTTTAGACCAGGGTCAGCATACTAAAACCATTAATGTGAACAGTCACATGCAGACTTGACATCCATTTGAAACCTATGTGGTATTACGTAACAGAATCAAAGCCACAGAGTAGTAAATACTGAATGGAGTGTTACACAATTAGTAGCTACCATGAACATACAGCACATTCAGGGTAGCAGAGTGGTGTATTGGATAACAGTTTGATTTATTTTTTGGTGATTTGACACAAACTTGGGGTTTTCAGCTCTTCAATCTTAAAGCAGTTGTCAAAACAACCAGTCCTTGCAACAGTGTCAGTTATTGACTAAAGATCCAGGTTATCTAAATAAGAATTACCAGGGTGGTTTTAGCTGGCTTAATTGAACATGGATAAAGTAATTCAGGCTTATTTTAACCAGACACCAAATGATCCTATTAATTCTAATCAAGCTAACCTAGTATGTCTTAGAATCTTGAATAACAGTGAATGCTAATTTTGACAGAGACAACAAGTCAAGAGTTGAAACCATGATCAGAACTAATGTGACTGGCAATTGTGCTCTGATCAGACGATTGAACTCTTGATGAGTGAGTGTCATTGAACAACAACATGGCAACCCAAAAGTTGCTTATACAACATTTTAAATAACTGTGTTTAAATCAAAGCATCCTAATTTTGCTGCTGATGCTCATGATGACAGGAGTCATCTGTATCTGGAAAGAACCCAATCATGGGATAAAAAGTTGGCATTGTATGTTTCTGCAAACCATGGTAACGTTGAATTTGTACATTATGTAGCAGATACTTTAAAACTTTACGTTTCAATGACAAAGTGGTAAATGTAGAAAATTTGGCTTTTTTTATTTTTATTGTTAGGAAAAGATCATGTTTTGGCTTTAAATAACCCGATTCCATGGGCACAGTCCTGTCTACAAAAACGCCCACTGTTTGGTGGCTGAAAAGCTGCTGGAAAAACAGTGATGACTCATCATCACAACTGGTTCTTCTTGTTTGTTGGTCTTAAACAGTGGTCTGCAGCTTAGCTGGCATCTCACAGGTGTGAACACCATCCCCTCCACCTCGAAATGACAAAGTCAGCTGATATACTACGTCACTTTAGAAATGTTGATATGATGCGTATGAAACGTATAAATGTGACGTATTCATGGTTTGCAAAAACACACAATGGCAATGTTTCCTTTGGCAACTGGGCTGCTGAAAATGGCATCATGTTTGGGGTTCATCATATGGCCAGAAGTATAAGGTTACACACCAGAACATTAAACATGTCATTCTTAAACAGGAAATCACATTAGTGTCTTATCTTAATTTACCATTATCTTAAGTTAACCATTAAGATTTCTCTTTATTCACTGGAATAAAAAGCAAAAAGTAAATGTTGACTGCAGACAGCCTTGCGGTGTTGAGTATTTATTCAAAGATCATGGAGAGGAGAATGCATATCTCACATGTTGGCCATGTACAAATGAAAGGTAAGTGGACGAGGTGAGAATGAAGAAAAATGAGGAGCCAAAGAGGATCTCTCTCCACAACATCATACACATACATGGTATAAACATACACACACACATAAGCAAATGCATCACATGTTGTATCATTCATTTCACTGTAACTTACTTCATTTTAAATAATTAAGTGCTATATCAGAACTCTTCTAGGGTGATGTGGGGGCCTGTTCTTAGCCAAAGGGGACCGATGAAATGGAAATATGACACTGTGTCTCTGCTGTCAGAGAGGAGCAGGGGAGCAGTGTAGAGTCCTTTACTGTCACATTTTCTATCAGAAGCTTCAACTGAGTAAATTCTGTCAATGTACAACAGAGTCATCAGGGTACTGTAAGGGAAAACTGAGATTCTGTAGATAACATCACAATAGTGCATGTTTTTGTTTTCTTGACCTTCCAACACATACTTCTTAAAATTTCAACTCTATATTAAAGTCTTACTTTATTCTCAAAGTTTACAACTTTTGTCCTGAAAGACTAGGACGTCTTTTTATGATATTACAGCCCTTTCATTGTACTATTATGACTTTATTCTCCAAACATTGCAACTTTTCCATCAATATATTATGACTATTTTGTGTAGCATTATGACATAAGTCTTAAAGGTCTAGTGTGTAGGGCTTAAGTGACATCTAATGGTGAGGCTGCAGATTGCAACCAACTGAAACTTCTCCAGAGAGCAAAGCACGTAGGGGAACTATGGTAGCTGACATGAAAATGCAGATGGCCCTATCTAGAGCCAGCGTTTGGCTTGTCTGTTCTGGGCTACTGTAGAAACAAATCTTAATTTCAGGTAATTATATACTTAAGACATAGTTATTAATATTATATTTAATTTCTGCCAATATATGCCCCTAAATCCTACACCCTGAACCTTTAAAATGCCATCTTTACTCTTACATTCTGACATTTTATTTTATCACAATATTACTTTTTTCCTCAAAAATCCAACTTAATGAATTTATTCTTCAAACTTAACGTATTTTCTCTTGTATGAAACTCAAAATTCAACTTTTTTCTCATCTTTATTTTTTCCCCCAAAATTCTGACTTTATTCAATCATAAATTTTTTTCTTCAAATATAATGACATCTCAGTTTGTTTCTTGTTGTTTAAACAGTAGCCATCACACTCTGTTACTGTTGCATTTATAACATCACCTATACAACCTAAGCTGACACATGTATCCAGTATCTTGTGAACAGCCTCCTAAGAGATTACTGATTGAAATGGTTGTTGATGAAAACAGAATCCCTGAGTTACATTTTTCAGGTGAAGACGTGACCTTTTATGGCAGACTTTTCTTCCTCTGACAGCTCTAAGTTATTCTCCTGTTGCATACACTTTGTACAGTGAATGAAAAAAATGAAGCAAAGCCGGAACAAACTCTTCAAAGCAGAAGTCCAACGATCAATGTCCTTTTTGAAATCTTGAATGAAGTAGAAAAACCGGACATAATTACAAACACGCTTTGTAGAAACCAGGGTGCATAAAAGTGCTTGTATAAAGGAAAAATAATTCTATTTTTTTCATATATTTACATACTCTTTTTTGTGCAGTTTTAGCTAAGATGAGTTGTAACTGATGAGAAGGATGCAGGCCGGTGGAGCACTAATGCAGACTGACAGAGAGATAACATATCTCATTATAATGGATGAGAGACAGGAGGACATCCTTCTCCTCCACTGTAAACAAGGAATTAAATAGACTAGAGAAATTTGAACTCACTGACTGCACGCTGGCATTCATTGTCTTCAGCAATAACATCAAACACAGTCTCATTCAATTGGCTGTACAGAAGAAAGCTGGGGTTAAGTACATTTTTGGGGACAAAGTGCTGTGTTGTCTTCAGACACGTTATCATAAATCTAATTCATCTCGGCCTCACCGAGAACTGGCTGCATCCACACTAACACGTTTTCATTTGAAAACGAGTGTTTTAGGAAAAAAATGTCAATCCATACTCACACGCCTGAAAACATAAATCACATGACCATTCACGTACACTGGGCATGTGTGCGCCGATGTAAACAGGAAGCAGATTGTCTACTCTGGTTGGTGGTTTTGTTACAGAAAACACTACGGAAATTGCAAAAAGTAAGACCGGAGATTTCTTTGCATGGACCGAAAAAGAGGAGGAACTTTACCTGAACGGAACAAATGCCTGTAATTTTCTATTCATGTCGAAAAAGGGTCATGTAATATGGGTGTGATGAATCAGGGAAGTACATGTCGTGACTGATTAGACCAAATCAGGAAGCAAACGAGGGTGTCTGTGTCATTGATTTCAGAGGTCTCCATTTCCACCCATGCAGAGTGAAACTCAACCCCAGTTTCCAAACTACAACAGGGTCAGCTGTGTTTTTCAAAGTCTCTGTTTAAATGGTTGAATATATTGGAGTTGTGTGGACGCTAGGCATAAACATAGCACAATTAGCAAAAAACATATTAGTGTGGATATAGCCTCTTTTTTTAACTTCCTGAGAGCGTAAGACTCGGGCCCCAACCAGAAACAAGCCCTGAGCCCCCTCCTGGGCCCCCTCTTCTGGACCTGAAAGGTAATAGTTAGCACATGCCATGACTACAAATATGCCAGACACTCAAGCAGGAGTTTTTAAAAAAAGCGTAGGGATGCACCGATTTATTAGCCGAAAATCTGTATCATCTGTTATTTGCCTTGTTGTCATCGGTCTCTCTGTAAATAAGATGACATTCACCGATGGCAGTGCCTGATGTTTTTCTGCTGTGTCACATCAATTTTGTTCAGGCTAAAAAGCAGGGCTCCCGACTCATGGCGTCCCGTTGTCCCAGAAACAATAGAAAATATAGTTGGGACGAACAGAGATCTTCCCTGGGATGTCACTGGGACGAAAGGACGCAGTAAACTTACTATCAAAGCATCAGGGGATGCACCCTATTGTTTCCCTGACATTACTACATTGTGTACAGTTGATCCATGTTGACATCAGCAGAAGGAGAGCTAGCTAATGTTAGCTGTTAGCTGTTAGCAGCTGGTGGCCAGAACTAACAGCTAAATGCGATGGCACTGAGTTACATAATGATGCGTTCAAGCTCTATTCAGTAAAAAGAAGAAAAGAAGGTAAATTATAATGTTCTCATGATGAGCTCAGATGTAATCTTGGAAAATGTGTTTTTTTTTTTGAGAAACTTGAATAAATTCAACTGAGGGGGAAATTTGTCGGTCTTCAATATAAAATAGATATTAGAGAGAGAATTATGATGTATTACATATAGTAAAAAGACTTTTGAAGCATTTTTTAAAGATGTTTTTCATGTGAAATGAGGTTATATTAAAGGTGGTTTCATAAATGTGTTTGAATGAATTTGTGCTCATCCAAAGGTAGTATAATGAAGGACTGAATTTCTTTAAAACTGTTCAGTAATTATTTTATAACTAAGATTTCTTTGTTTCACGGTCACCAAAGGTAGAATAAATAACAACAAAAATAAAATAAACAACAACAACAATAAAAAAAAAAAAAATCAGTATTGGCTTTCAGCTAAATTGTTATTTAACATTTGAATTTCAGAACCGGTGCATCCCTACTACAGCCCTGTTTATGTATTAGTGGCTGGTCAGACCAGAAAGTGTGAAAACAAAATTCTCTTTGCTATTGGTCCATGGTGCAAATTTAAATGTTAAAGTTCACCACAGTTTAACTCTACACAAAAAGCACCCTGCACATTTACTTATGGAACGATTGATTGGTGACCACAGCAGAGCTACTGTACCTGGTGAGTTAACTGTGAACATGCTAGTGCTAGTCAACCAATAGCTCCGAAATCTTACCATCACAAATGCTGGTCTGATGTGCCCTTTACCTAGGGATCTCATGTGATTTGTAATAATTGCAGATGTCAACTGTTTTCATAATCAAATGCCAATCTGCTGTCTGTAATCTGTCTAATGCAATTTATAGTGCAAATGACTGACCTCATTTCACCAAACACACAGGCTGTCTGATAGATGTAGCCCTCTGTCAATAAGCAAGGCTGTTTTCTTCCTCTGAACAGCACTTAAGGGTTAATTATCTCCAGTCAGGAATGTTTTATTGTCACTAATTTAAATATTGTTTTATTATTATTATTATGACTCATTTTCTAAATCTCACGAGGTCCTCAAGTAACACTGATGCTGTGCAGATGAGGCTGTAACTTCAAATGAGTCTGGCTGGACTTGCATTTCTTTAGGCCATGACATTTGTAGGTGGCGACATTTTCAGGTTTTGACATTTCCTTTGTGGCAGATGCTGCAAGCCACAGCATACTCTCAGATTCAGATATAAAGGGGAATTTCGAGATTTGTCAACCTGGGTCTTCAGGGCTATCCACACCAAGAACGATGACTACAACAGTAACCAGAAGTATAGCCACAATTGGCAATCCTGGGTTCTAGCCCTTTCTCGGTCAACGGAAGTAAGGAGTTCAAGTGCCATATATTTTGTTATTTAATATATTTAGATATTGTGGAATCACTTTCAGGGCAATTTGATGAATGATCGAAACACTGACAGACAATCAGAATCCATCCAATTAACAGCAGCAGTTCAACATGACTGATGACACTGCTCAGAGACTAATTAATAAAACAAACCTAGTTATGAGGGCACAATAAAGAAGAAGGACATCTGGGATGCAATCAGGCCCAACCTGGTTTGTTATAGTTATAAACGGAGATGATGAGGAGATGATTATTAAAGCTAACACTAGCTGGTAAGCTATCTAGCATCACCTCAAGCAAATGCTTCTCTGCACAAGGTTTTCCTGCACAACTGTTCATCAGTGTGGATGCTCACATCATTTCCGTTATTGTTCTTGGTGTGGGACGCCCTTTATTCTCAGACTTTTGTCCATTATGACAAGTGGTCATGTAAACAATTTACTCTGCACCTGCACTGTAGAGATTTGGTAAATTTGGAACAAAGTCAGAGGAGACAGTGGGCAGGCATTAGAGAATAAGACCCTGTTTGACAAATGCTGAACTCCCCTTTAAGAAAGAGGGTGAAATGTTCTGAACAGGGGCCACGGGAGGAACTACGGACGGAAGCTCTTTCTAAGTGCCAATGTGTGCTGGAGCAGGAGCCAGCTCGGTATGTCCGTGGTCCTGGGAGGAGAAGCAGTCGTCAGAGTGGATGAAGTGCAGGGCCGTCTGGTTGTAGCTCAGCAGGGTCTGCTGCTTCTGCTCCGAGCTGTAGTACAGAGAGTGGGGGTGTACCTGCGTGATGTGCCTCTTGATGGTGCTGACCTTCAGAGTGGCCAGAGTGGCTCCACACACCATGCAGATGAGCCCGTGTCTGCGACAGTCGTAATCCATCAGGTAATCCATCCGCCAGCGCACCTGGTAGTTCCTCCTCTGGTCTTTCCCAGGGTAATGGCCGTGACGAGAGGGCGTGGCTGCAGCACCGTCGTCCCTCGCTTTACCCTTCCCTCCACTCATGCCTCCCTCCTCTTTCTTCACCATTTTGCTGTGTGCTCTGACATCAGGGGAGGTGTCCTCATTCGTCTCTCTTGTGGTATTTAGGACATCAGTTTCTCTCGCGTTGATTTCTGCTAAAACAGCAGGGAGGGTGCTGCTGTGGTTAAACTGAAACCACATTATTCTGACATCCTTTGACAAGCACTACTAACAAACAAAGCTGTATTGCTTACACCCCAAGCTGCTGCCATCTTTCTGTATCTTAAAGGGATAGTTCAGATGTTTTAAAATGGGGTTGTATGAGGTATGGCATTTTACATAGACTAGTCAGCTGGCACTACCCCAGTTTGGAGAAGCAGCAGGAGTGCCCACACAGGAACAACATGTACTGCTGTGGATGGGGTTGGGAACAAAATATATTTTAGCCATTAAAAGAAAGAAAATTTGTAACAGTTTAGCAGCACTATATTGAGAGTATTTTCACTGCTGTACCTTTCCGTCAGACAGCCAGTTCTGACGAGGAAGATGTTAACAGCCTCAGTTCCCCAACTATGTAATTTTAGCTCAGTGAGCACGGGAGTTGCTGGTCTACCACTGTTCAATCAGTTTGTGTTACTGTGTGCCTTTGGTGAATCCAAACCAACCCTTTCAAACACCAAAGTCACACAAAAACAAAACTGATGGAGGCAGTGGTATACCAGCAGTTCCTGTGTTCAGCAAAGCTAAATAACTTTTTTCTTAATGGAGTCTGGCTTTAAAAAGAGCAATATAACAGCTTCAGTTTCCAGTCAGAAATCGCTGTCTGATAGCAAAGTAAAGCAGTGACAATATTCTAAATGTAGCGTACACTTAAACTAATACTGATTTTTTTAAAGCAGTCAGCACTACTGCCTGTTTCTCTGAACGGTTGACGTGCCGACTGACATCTACTGTATGAAATAAACTGAATATGGATAAGTACCTCATACAACCCCGCCTCAGAAGATCCAAACTATTCCTTAAAAGCTGCAAAATATCAGGATTGGTATGTAAGAGAGTCTGTCTTGTCAAGCTCAATCACCAAGTGAGACTTCAAGAACAAACATACTATCCCCATTAGGACACACATTGGAGTCATCCTATTCTCTCAAATCACATTCTACTGTGGATACAGACACTCACTACAAATTCTCAAGGATCTGGGCAACTTTTACAGGTCTGAAACTCTCAAATATATGCCAAATATCCAGGTAAATATGTACAGGCCCTGTACTATAATCGCTCACATGGTAAATTCAGTATAATGTATATTTCCACAGCTCAAGTCATACTCATCATTGTGCCCTGAGCCTCCCTTTTTTAACATTGAGTTGAGATCAAAGTAGACAAAGCTTTCAGAAATAGTAATTGAAGGAAAACAGAGAAAGTCAGAGCAGCAGAGTGTCGAGTATACCATGACTGTATTATTGCACTGATAACAATAGTGCTGTAGAAATGGACATTATACTGAATTTATCAAGACAATAAATAAACATAGAGGATGTCTACAGGCATAAAATATACTTATAAAACAAGGAAAACAACAAATGAAGCCCTGGAGCCCTGAAATATAAGCCTGTTTCATCAAGAGGACTCAGTCCGCAGCTCACCTTAAAGCTGGGGTAGGCAGTTTTATTTTGGCATCACTGGGCAAAAATTCCATCATAACTTTTGAGCATATTGTAATTCAAGAGGACTGCAAGAAAACTAGACCACTGCACTTCCTCTTGGCTCTTTTTTCAGACTTTAGAAAAACTAGCCCCTAACGGGAGACTTCGGCCAATCACAGGTCATTTCAGAGATAGGGCTATTCAGAAAATGCAGATGTGGTTGCAGGTCCCTTTAGTGAAAGCCTGATTAAATGGTGGAGAATCCCTCAGAGAAAGTTGCTATTCCAGCACTGACAACAGCTGCAAACACTGGACTTATCAAAGAGTCTATAAGAGTCTGACAACGAAAAAAATAAAACGTGTCAATATCAGTGAGGTGTTTCAGAGCATCGAATTACAGTGTTACTTCCACCTCACTTCCCACCGCTACAGACCACTATGTTGGGAGGAGAGTGGGCAGCAGCTCTGGAGACAGAACTCACAGCAGCTGCACAACCCCCAGAGAGGGGAGAGCTGCAGGAGGATTCTTTTATTTGAATTTCCAGATTTCTGCCTACCCCAGCGTTAATACACACCACTATCTGAGTACTGACAGATTTGCAGTAGAGAGTAACAGTGGCTAAAAGCATCTCACCATCTTGTATTTGCATGCCTTCACTAGAATAATCTTTGGTCCAGGCAGCAGCCATGGCTTCCCTTTCTTGTCGGCTCAGGGTTGTCGTCTCGGGATGACATTCCTGGATGTGGCGGCGGAAGCTGCTGACCTTGGTTTCGTGCAGGACCTGAGAACACACCATGCAGAACGTGCCCCGACCCTGAGGTCCGTAGGCCACCAGGTAGTCGAGGCGGAGCCGCCATGGGTCACCCCCACGCAGCCGCCTCTTCCTGGGCTGGCGGAGGGGCTGGGGTCCCTGCTGTGGAGCTCCGACGCCTCCATCCTCACCAATAAGACAAGTGTCCTGAGTTAAAGTGCCATCGCCTTCTGGGTACAAGTCAGTGTTGATCTGGATGGCCTCCACTTCCTGAGCATAGAGGTCCACCCCGCCATCTTTGGTGTTGGGCTCTGATTTGATTGAGTTTTCTGACTCTTCTGTTATGAAGCAGAAAATCATACACGTAACATACAAATGATTTAAAAATAAACAAAGATTACGTCTGTGGCATTTAACAACAGGTCCAATGAGGAACTCCTGTAATCAACAGACATGAAGAGTGGCCAGGAGGCGGTGTTGGAAGATGACTCTATGTGACGGGATGTCCAGGCTTCCCGGCTCACCCTGTTACCATGGCAATGCTGATCCAGATAAGCAGTGATAAAATGGGTGGATGGTGGACGGGTGGATTTGTGCTTGTGACGTCAATACTGATAAGACTGAATGATAAGATAAATTTATTGAATTGAACTTTATCTAGTTCTGTAGATCCACCAACAGTCACATACTTACAGGTCTTTTTAAAGGGAATCTTTTATGCTTTTCTGTGTCTTATATATAGTGTTACAGTGAAGGCTGTTCACATTATACATTGCCAAAGTTTCAAATAATGAGGTAAACGTATATAGCAGTAATCCCTGGGAAACAAAATCCTAAGGTCCTACAGTTCTAAACACTCTGTATCCAACAGGTTTTCCTACTCTGGCTGAGTATGATGTCATAGTGTGTCAGATATCTTTACATAGTCATCTTCTCCAAGCAGGCTACTGCAAGTGTTAACATTATATAGCCTACACTGCTACATGTAGCTATAAGCTAACATCCGGGAAACATGTAAACTTGGTTGCTGGTGTTGTTAATTTCCCCCTTAGACATATTCCTGCTGCTATTCTCCATTATAGTTATTCCCCGGCTGTAAGTACACTTCCAATGTACAAGTAGCTACATGTTAAAGTCAGGGAAACATGTTAACTTAGTTGCCAGTGTTGTTAATTTCTACCTGATTTTGGATCATACTCCAATGTCAAAAAATGTTGCTATTCTAATCAAGATTTATCAGGACACCAATCCCTTATACTGTGTCCACACTACGAGCAACATAGCAACAGGCTACAAGTCATCTTCAGTGGAAGCCCGTGACATAAAGCTACAAACTGATACTCTGACACACTGACACTGGTCGCTGCGGATGGGTGTGATGTGCTAAAAACGAAAGCAAAGCTGGCCTCAACTTTTGCTTCTGACAAGGCGAAACATTAACCAATTGTATGTTTAGTTTTTAGCTATGGTACTGTGATGTTTAGCATAAGTAGCTGAAGCTATACCGGTGCACATAGGGATGCAACAAAACTGGCATTGTAATGTTTATTCACTGTTGAATCAGTGTCACACACCATGGCTGAATCACTGTTGAATTATGTTTTGATTTTAGAGGATGAATCAATGTTGATTTTGCAATGTTTTATAGTGTTGTTTCATAAACTTTAAACGTTGTTTCAAAATTGTTTGTGTTGAAACAGATCTTTCTGAAATTTCAATGTTGCTATACGAGATTTTTGTTAACCTTTTTACAACCATCAAAAATTTAACATTGTTTCAATGTTATTTTAATGTTGAAACAACAACTGACAACATTTCAACCACATTTCAAACGTTGAAGGTTGGTTGTGTGCCAGCTGGGAGTGGGACAGCGAAATGTGATGTTCAAATGAGGGTCAGACACTGATCAAAAGCACAGATGAATTTATGACTAAATGCTTTAGATGGTGTTCAGTCAAGGTGCTTTAAGGCAAGTAGCAGACACAGAAGCCCATGACGACATAACTATGTTAATGAGCGCATGAGCAGCACCTCCATGATGACTTGGTGATAATGTAGCTGGTCACACTTCTGTGTTGTCACTCATAGTGTGAAAAAGACATTATGCCACTGATGTGGGACAGTAACAGAATCCCTTACTCATACTTTCTGACTTGTCATAATCTTTATTATTATTAGACATTGATATTTTATACATTTTCTGAGGTTTTTGGAGTCTGATTTACCCTTCCTCACTGATTGTAATCTCTTTAATCATACCAGAGGACATCCTCCTGTGCAGACATTACTCGAATGCCATTGCTTTTGCTTTCTTAATTGCTAGACGCCTCATACTTATGAAGTGGAAGCTGAAGGCTTCTCCCACACATGTCCATCTTTTATTAAATTTTGCTTCTTTTTGCTGCTTTCTTATTGTATTGCTTTTACTGTTTGCTTACTATATTGCTCTTTGTTTTATACAGTTCACTTATTCTACTTATCTGTGTGTTTCTTTTTACAGATACACACTTATATTGCTTTGTGTTTTTTTCTACTGATGCTTCCTGTTTGCACTATTCCTCTGCAGCTGTAATGTTGCAAATTTCCCCGCTGTGGGACGAATAATGGATTATCTTATCTTATCTTATTCAAACCAAATTACAGTGTAGATAACATCTATTTGTTTGTATAATTATATGCATTTATGTTTACTTCATGATTTATTTTGCTGTTTGCTTGCTTTTATTTGCTTTTACTTTTATACTAGTTGTCTTTCAGATTTTTTGGGGTGGTATAAAAATGGACAACATGCAAACTTTTGTATTTTGGTATTCCACACTGATTGTATTAAGGTGTTTGAAAATAAGGAAAATCAAGTTTACCAACAAGTCTACCATCACTATATTCTCCGTCATTCTCGGGCTGCAATGACGGTGCAGAGATGCTGAGATACGGAGGACATGGAAATGCTGACCCATCAGAGCAAACTGGGCTTTTTCAGGGGAGGCGGGCTTAAAGAGACAGACACTAAACAGAGCATCTCAGACAGAGGGTAAATACAGGTGTTCCAGCACAGATAGTGTGAGGAAAATTAAGTGGGTTTTTTGACAATTTAAGTATGTAAACATGTTCTAGTAGAAACCTTAAACAGGAGTCTGAACCTGAAAATGAGCATAATAGGTCCCCCTTCATAACAATCACACATTCTGTTATTAAGTGCATATAGTCTTGTTCCTTCTGTTCTTACCATGAGTCTGAGCCCAGGCCTGCAGGATGCAGTGCTTCTCCTCGGAGCTGTAGACCAAGGAGTTGGGGTGGGTGTCCAGCACGTGGCTCTTGATGTGGTCCAGATGGAGTGAGGGCAGTTCTCCTCCACACACCATGCACAGCAGCCGGCCGGCCTCCGCCTCATACTCCATCAGGAACTCCTGGCGGAACCAGGCGTGCAGCGAGTCATTCAGGTAGCGTTCCAGGGTGCGGGCTGACGGCCCGGGGAGGTCCTGCTCCTCCACCTGGGGCTGGGGGGCTTCACCCTCCTCAGAGTGGGGAGACAGACTGGGGGGTTGTTGTGGCTGCTCCTGGGGCATCACAGGCTCTGGGGGTTCTAAGAATATGCAGTGCCAAAGTGAAAACTTTCAAACGCTGCTTTAAAACTATCCTTTTAAAATGATTATCTAGAAGCCTCACTGTGCATGTGACTATTTAGTTACAGGAGAAAACAAACAATGATGTATAAAGTCCTTTGTGATCTTGTACATGATACATGCAAATAGACAATGGATGCATTGACCTCACACTGCAAAAATAATGTAAGGTAATAACCATACAATTATATAAAAAAAATTGTACAACCCAGTGTGGCAGATAGCTGTCTGAGATTTACTCACCAAATGGACATTTAATGCCTTTGGCACTTGGTAGATATTAATTTTATACCCTGATGGCGAATATAAATAAAATCATTTTCCTTATCCATTGTGTCTCTGGCAGTCTTTTGTGATGTGTTAATCACACATGTTGTTGAGATCGTGAGGAAGATACATATGTGAAGTTCTCTCTCCTGATCGAATCAAGTGGGAACGGGATGTCAAAAAATGTAGAATACACATGTATTAAATTGGTTTAAATAACCCATTTACATTTTTCAGAAACCTACTCTGAAGCTTAAATCTGCTAATTGCCAACTTATTTCTGTTATATTTCTAATTTGTTGTCATTGTCATTTGTTTCATGTTAAATGCAATGCACTGTGCTGGATTATATCCAAATGTTTTTTGTACAGTAACAATAAAAAGAAAAAGAAAAACCTACCATGTGTGATATTTTATTAATCCCAGAGGGAAAGTGATTGTGACTGTTTAGGATGTAGTCAAACTGACTCCAGCTCTGAGGCTGGTGCCACTCCAGGAGGGGTGGGAGGGAAGCAAAGAGCCTGGAGGAAACCCATTCAAATCCACATGCAAAACCTAAAGGAAGGAGCTACTAAGCTGTGAACCAACTTTGTTTTCACGTCCAGCCCACAACATTGTTTCTGCAAACACTGCTCACCACTAAGCCACTGTGAAACTTTACTTCCTTCTCTTTACAGTTCTTTACATCAGTTATTCAGACGTCAGTCCTACATTAGATGACAAGTACAGTCTTGTGGACTCCCCTGAGGAAAAGTAAATAAAACTTTGTATACCACATCCATCAAAGTATTGGAGAATTAACAGCTGGCACCAGTATAACTAAGGTATTCACAACCACTTTATGTTAGTCTTGAAAGCTGCATTGCTAAAACTTAAGTCACTGTGCAGTGTACTGTATATAGGTTGGAGACTTGACTGTGGTTATACTGATACAGACTCTGACTCGCTGTAACTACCAGAGCCCCCCAACTTGTTCTGATTATAGCTCAGATATGTGAACAAGCTTTAAGGTACCCTCTATAGTTTCTTGTAAATGAATAATGTTTCATTCAGTGTAACTCATCATAACACACTGAATGTATCCTTAGAGCCTGACAAATGTGCTGTTGCTTTTTTCCGTTCTTACAAAACATATAATGAAGAAAGACGGCCTTTAATGTGTTCTAGTTGGCAGTCTTCTTCCCTAATGTCCCCAGCGACCCCCATGTTAAAATGCCTAACTTTACAGCAGAAATAAAAAATGTTTACAGCCTGGTACAAAAAATGTTTTGGTCTCTATGGCTAATTTCAACATTCATGACAACTGTATGGGGGTGAATTTATATATCACTCACTGGTTAAAATGTTATTAAGGTTTAAATGTATGAATAATTAAGGCCGTGACTGCTTTGAATGACAGGTGGATGTCATCCCTTGACAAATCGTTTCCATAGCGTCAATGTTTGGTTAGGTAATGTAACTATCAGTGTTGGGCAGTAATGTGTTACAGTAATAATATTACTTTGTCCAGTAACAAGTAGTGTTGCTAATTACCAACAAATTTTTAGTAATAATACAGTTACCCCAAAACCAAACAACTCATTACAACACCTCAAAAAGTCTTGATCAGTGTTTTGTTGTACTGAAAGAATGGTTTTAATCCTGTTTTTCACTAGGAAAAACTAACATTAGCATTATCACAGTAAATCATTGCTGTAAATGCACCATGCTAACCAAGCTAGCAGCTAGCATTAGGGTTTCCTCCACTCTCTGGTCCAAATATGGTCACTTGTGACTCCAAAAATCCAAGATGATGACCAGAGGCCAAAATGCCAAACACAAGGCTTCCAAACAGGAGTCCACAAACCATGGGGGGCCGTTATAATGGATACATACTTTATTTTATACAGACTATGGTGTTCTCTTTCGTGGGGATGTGATACAAACAAAATGTGGACCTACTCATGAAAGCACTGGTCCATAGCACTAATGATGGTCAGAACCTCCACAGGGAACCTTGACTTCCTGGCCAACTGTATGGAAAGTATATGTGGGGGGAAAAGTGTGCTACTTCCAGTTAAAGGGATAGTTTAACATTTTGAGAAATACTCTCATCAGGTTCTCTTCTAAGAATAAGATGAGAATATATCAATCTCATTCCCATGTGTTAAGTACAGAGCTGGAGTCACGATGTGGTTAGCGTAGCACACAAGTTCCAGAAAAAATTAATTTAGACAGCCAACTGAATAAACAAAATATTTGGGAAAAAATGAAATTAGAATTTTATAGACTTTAGTTTTCCTCATTCATGTCCTGGGTTTTAATTTCCATCATAAGAGCCTGTCACAGCAGCCTGGCTACAAATCTCAGGTGTCAGATTTTACCAAAGCACATAAACATAGCATCATAATAACCTAATTTTAGCTTTTTATCTGTTTGTAATTGAAGCTATAATATTTGCTCTATCTGCCTTACATGCGACTATGAGTAATAATTTAAATTTGAAAAGGATGCTCATAAGCTATATTAGCTATATTCAACTATTTCTTTACATTCTAGTCTGTGACTTTTTTTTCTCTGTCATCTTAAATCTTTAACAGGACAGTCATGTCCAGGCACAAGCCTTCCCTCTCCTGTCCTAACACATCACAGAATGATTACATCATCCTCCCCTTCTCACACGCTACCATGCCAAGACATAAACTCATACTGCCACCAAGTGTGAGGTTTAGAAAACACTTTGCCAGGAGTCCTACCCACCAGCAGCATGTTGGTCTGAGTCCAGCTGCTCCTCTTCTTCCTGAGCTGAAGGTCCAGCAGCAGAGCTGAATGACCTCTGACCTCCCCCCAGGCTCAGGTGGCTCTCCCACCCTGAGCGGATGACCTCTTTGTCGGCAGCGCTCCACAGGAGGGAGTCAGGGTGCTTTTGTCGGATGTGCCTCTTGATGGTGCTGAGCTTTAGAGTAGCCAGTGAGCTGCCGCACACCATGCAGATCATCCCATGCCGCTGGGGGTCAAAGTCCATCAGGTACTCACTGCGCCAGTACTCGTGGTAGTAGCGGCGGTGGTCGCGGCCTGGGATCCGGCTCAGGCCGGGACGTGAGGCCCTCTGGACCCTGGGTTTAGATCCAGAGGGCCCAGGGGCTGGGGAGAGGAGCAGTGGCTGGTCTGGTCCCTCTGTGATATTCCAGTAGCTGGTGCCTGGAGACCTGACAGGTGTGACCATGCCAGCCTCTGATTCCTCCTCACCATGGCCATTGGCAAGACCATCCTCTTCTGACAGAAACAAGAGAGAGACAAGATAAATCCTAGTATGATATTTAGATATGTTTATGGCAGCTAAAAATCTTAAGCACGTGTATATATCTTATTAATTGGGACAATCAAGTATATGTTGTTTTCTCCACTTAATAGGGTGCCAGTATAATACGAGTTTTTACACTGATTAACAATTCTAAAAATAAAAACCTTTGTAATTATTAGAACATCAAACAATTAAAAAATGTATTAACAGCCTTCAAAATCTTAAGCGTACAGTACGTATTGATAACATTGGTGTAAAAATGTATTGCTATAATCATCTTTGTTTTAAAATATATTTTTGTGAAAATGTTGGCCCTTTAAAGATGTGTCCCTGGGACTGGTTTTTCTCCGTAGGTATGACACTTAATGCTTAATTTCTCCTTAGCTGAGGGACTTACACCGTTGCACAGAATCCCTTAAAAGGTTTACTTAGTTAAGTTAACTTATTTACTGTGTAGAAAGAGATTTTATTGTGGTAGAGTTTTCCATAGAGATTGTTTGCTTGGACTCAAGCTTGTGATGCCTGTTATCATCTCATAAAGTTGGCTTAAAGATAGATAGTGAAAAAATGGCAAAAGAAAACAAGACAAAAAATTACACTTCTGGTGGAATGGAATCATAGAAAGCACATACTGCAAAGTAAATTTGATCCCAAATACCAGAAAACAGAAAACTATTGTAGGAAGAAACTGCAACGAAAATGAATTCAGTCACATCTTAAGTGTAACATCAGAGGTGTATCACTGGGTTCTCCTGGTCGCAGAACACTCTTCTTGGGGTGTGTTAGTTTTTCATTTATCACCATAAATTCGGTCATCTTGCAGTTAAGATAGAATCAGAGGTACCTTACTTTTTTTATCTTTTACCTTGCTTTGGTTGCTAAGGTCTTTTGTGCAACAGTCTGGAGATTCCTTAAGTATAACACTAAGACAAGGAGTAAATCATAAATACTTAAGTGAATGTCAGGTATCATGGAGGACCCCACCCACCCGGCACATTAACTGTTCACCCTCCTCCCCTCGGGCAGAAGGTTGCGCAGCCTCAAGACCAGAACAACGAGGCTAAAGTGCAGCTTCTTCCCAGAGGCTGTGAGGCTCACAAACTAACTGACTTAACTGTCCCCCTGCACTTTACTTTACTGCTGCAATTACATGCTGCTGATTCTATGTGTTTTTTTACCATTAGACTTTAGGTTATGTATTTTTTTTTTTATCTATTTATTTGACTATGTATAGGTGTATTGTATTTATTCTGTACGCTGCTGGACCTGGGTAACATTTTTCATTCCCTCATGTTTCTAACGTGTGTGAATGACAATAAACTGAACTGAACATTTTAAGGAAACCTTAATGAGGAGACTTAAAGTGTTTTTAGCAACTGTTAACTCCATCAGATTTCTACAAAAACATTAATCAGGCATAAAGGGAGTTAGTTATATCATAAAGACTTGTCTCACTTCCTGGTATATATATATATATATATATACACACATATTAATAAATATCAATATATACATACATACATACATACATACATACATATACATGCATGCATAATATGGAGTTAATTCTACAACAGAAGAGACTTGATGATCACTAAAATTAGGTGGGAAAAAAAGTGGATATATCTACAGTATATCGGTATTGGTATAGGTTATCGGCCAAGTAAGTTGTTATATATCAGCATATCGGCAAATATATGTGTGTATATATACATATATATATATAAATATACACACTCACATGATCACATAAAATAGCATAATAATAAGATGGTCACATATAATCTGTGACAAAACTATGTAGTTTTCTTAAATATGGAACTACAGCTACTACTGCTTCTTTAAATTTGTTGGTCTATGCCCCCACACACAGGTTGTACAGGGTCTCCCTTGATTTGAGATTGCATCATGAGAATACATCAGGTAACGTGTTATGAATAAATTGACTGTCTGAAATGTATATTTGAAGCTGTTATTGTTTGGCTCATGATGACTAAAGCTGGAAATCATAGATTCCCCAGTTTGATTTTTAGCACTATCACTCTTAGTGAAAATCACCTGTACTGTCTGTACACTGTTCAATCCGTGTTTAACGTCCTACGTTACGGAACTCTAATGTTACGTGATTTAATGTGAGTTATTTATTCCATATAACCTACATTATTGTTTATTTATTGGTGTGAGGCGACCTGTGCCGCCGCTGTCCACTAGGTGGCAGCTGTGTGTCTCGGTCCGCCTGCCTGCGTGCTGTTGAGCCTTTGTTTATAGGAGCCACAGAGACGGAGGGGCCATGCTGCTCCATGGCATTGTCCCTGACACGGATTAACTGGCTGTCTGACAATGGCCGTGGCTCTGACAGCCACGCAGCCCCACTTTGCGGTGAGAAACACTGAGAATAATAACACTAGTTTTTTTCTTTACCTCCCAAGTCACTCTCCTCTTGCGTCGCTTCCTCCTCTCCGCTTATTATTAATGAGAGCAGCTCAGCCTGCTCGGCACACCGGAGGTCCACAGGCTCGCTCTCCCCCGTCTCTTTCTCTTCCATCACTGGCCTGCCCGCTGTTTTAATAGTGGCTAGTGTTCCTCCTTCCTTCACTGTATCGTAGCGCTGAAGCGGGACATGTCACACTCACAACAACATGTTTAACAGTAACATGTTCACACCGCTCGGCACCGTTCGACACGCATCTGGCAGGCGCTCTATAACGAGCCCATCGCTGAGGAGCCCGTGCTCTACGATGTCCCCCCACGCGCTCCGCACGGGAGCCAAGTTAACTTTTCATATAATCACACAATCATGTATTCCGCTGGCAGATAGAGCCCGGTCCTCCGTCCTGCTCTGTGTGGAAGCGCCTCGGCATAGGCCTCCAGTAATGTATTTTAAGGCTCTTGCTTGTCTTCAGGGTGGGGAGCCGGACTAGGGGCCCCTGGGGCTCCTTAAGGGGCTCCTGGGTAAATTTAAAGAGACAGTAGCAGCGTCGACAATGCACACCCACCCCGGGGGGGAGCAAACGGAGCAGCAGGCGCTAATACTGATAAGCTGCTAATACTAATGCTGTTGTTCCCACAAAATCATGCGGTGATAGAGGCGGGTTGGTTCGGCAGAGTATCGGTTAAAACACGAGGCGGGTCCATTGCAAATCAGGGCCCCGCGAGCTCCAGTTCATGATATTTGGTGCTGGGGATCGAGTGTACATTTTTAACATTAAATACTGTGCTTGGTGTTGTTTTGAAATGCTGCATTGTGGGTCTTTAAGACATTAAATATAAATATATTCAGTTTGCTATTGGCAAAGCAGCAAATATGCACATTTGAGTGGCTGGTGTACTAGTGAACATTTGTGGCTCTTTTGCTTTAAAATTGGTGCCAATCAAATTTTTTGTCCACTAACTGGCTCATTAATCAGGGGTGTTTCAAGGATATGAGGTCATTGGGGGCTTAGCCCAGACCTCTGTAGGGGGATCTTTCCCCAGTAATTTTTTTTGATGAACAAGCTCTAATTTGGGGCTTTTTTTATACACTCTGGTGCCTTATTTACCCTTAAAACTGTTTTTTTACTTTCCATTTTACCTATGAACTGTGATGAGAAAAATATTAGCAGTTGTTAGTAATTAGTATTGAGTACAGAATGCTTTACAAATGCTATCATTAAAAATGTACTGACTAGAGTTTGAAATATAGTTAAATGTATATATTTATGTCAACAGGAATTTAAGTAAGAACATTTATTTGAATAGAAGTATGACCAGGATTATATATTATTAGGTCTGGGGCTTTTATCAACATTAGGCCTTATTTGAAACATATAGCCTACATATTTAGATGTGAGGCTATTTATAAAACATACAGGGACGCCCAGGCCCAACAATGCCACTGTCATTAACCAATCAAGTGTTTCAACTGTTATCATACATTCTCTTATCTAGTGGTATTTGCTATTATTTAATTCAAGGCTGTAGCCATTGAGTCAACACTGGGGGAAACCAAATCTGCCAGGGGCTCTGCCCTTCACCTAGATTTTTTTTTATTTATCTAATTTTTATAAGCAAGTAGCACTATACAGTATACTATACAAACTTAAGCAATAAATGAAAGCTACTACCATCTACAGAAATTACACATGCAGAGCAACATAAATCATAGACACTTTACTCAGGCTTCACATGGTCTATCTGACAAATATAACATAATAAAGACATTAATGTTAGTTGAATTTTGCTGTGAGTTGTGTTCTGCTGGGAAGTGGCAACACCACTTGGAAAAACCATACAGAACTGCAGCACACAGTAATACTAGAATCGGTTGTAATAATAAAGGCAATTTGTTAAGTTTATTTATGATTTTAATTACATTTTCTGATGATATTATTTTGGAAACGGTACATAGTTGCCTGTTGTAGAATCTTTCTAATTTAGATTTTTTTAATGGATGATTGTGTCAGCTCTAATTTTACATTATTTTTTTAAGTTATAGAGTGCTCTAGGGATGACGTTTTCTGTAGGCCGATGCTGAAGTTAGCAATGTAGAATAAAAACTTGTGTTAACCACAGACCTTATTACAGGCATCCCACCAAAAACCCATTGACTTGAAGACGAGGGAGCCAGGAGTGCTAAAATCCTAACCCATTTCCAGGTTTTAGGATTCATCCCTGGAGCATTGAATTTAGTGATTAAGTTACACTGAAAATATTGTAATTTTGTTGGACATCGGAGCCCACAGGTTCCACCCCTCTTGAATTAGACTATATATTTTATAAGATTCATGAAGAGAGTTTTACAAATGTGTCCATCATCCATTGCTACTGTATCTGCTATTATACGCCCACTACTACCACTACTGCAAATGTATTTTTTTTTCATCAAATGTACCAATTAATGACACCCATTTGATCATTGTGCATGTTATCCAAACCACAAATTCAACTTTAGCCCTATCACTGATGGCTCTGCACATGAATTGAGGTCATCTTTAGAAAAAGCCATTAAATCAATGGACCTTTGCCCAGCTGCTCCAAATTGGAAAAGACTATATGTTATTGCAAGCTTTATGTAATCTGTCTCTGAATGGTCCTTTGATTGGTTATTGAATTCGTCTCCTGCCCCAAATTCAGGTTTCACTAAATCGTGAAATGACAAATGAGGTTAGGCCTAATTAGCAGCCATTAGTCAGTCACACTACTGTGACTCATGGACGTTATTAGCTCATAGCCACAATTTTTGTCAAATTATTTTTCATACACTCCTTTTAATGGCTTAGGGTTTGAAAAGGAGGGGGGTGTTGTGTGTCCACGCCATACACACACACACACACACACACACACACACACACACAAACACACACACAGCAAGCATCCAGGTCCCACATCCTGGTACTTTTCAGCGTTGTCAAGGCAGCCTCAGAGGACGGCTGGCTGGCGGAAAGTAGCTGCAGTGTCCTGGCAACATATCTGTCCAAAAACGTTCACAAAAACTGTCCCGGAAAGTTAGGTGTAACTAAAAGGTATCGGGTATGCATGTTTTTCTTCCACATGTTTCCAAGCGTCCTGCTTTACGACCTTATTATGCGGGTTTTCTCGCTTCTTTTAGACAGGCAGTAGACTCAGACAGGCGCCCGTCCGTGTGGACAAGAGAAGGAAGATCTTGTCCATTGTGCCGATCAGAGAGACACCGGGTTTAGGCATGATTTACGCCCTAATGTGGCGTTTTTTCACCACGTCTCTGTATGTATTGCTATTTTCGCTTCAGCTAGGTCGCTCGGCTGCGTTTAGAATCAAATAGACACAGAATAAAGAATAAAAATGGCTCTCGACAGATATAATTTGTGATAGAAAGGGACAGGTTTAAAGGGACAGTGTCACTCTGCTTCCTTCCTGGTTCCTGTAGGCTAGCTAACACATTTCTACAACCATGTCTGCGACGTGTTTATACCAGCAACGATGCTGTGGGATGAAAATATTGCATAGTTATTTTTTTAAAAGCTACGTGTGAATATTAGTCAACTGTAAGATGTAGTCTGTCTCACGTGGATATCGTGTTGTGTGAGAGGAGATGGGCGTCTCGATACATTTGCATTGTCTTTCGGTTTGCATGTAATCTATTTAAATAAGCGGCACAGGAAATGGGGACACTTGCTTTAGAGAGCCTTAATGTGAGATTTTTCTTTTAGTAAAAAGTAAAGTAGATTTAAGAGTGAAGTTACCAAGTCAGCACATGTGAATTGAATGTTTTAACACGTAAAATGTCCCAAACCTGATATGTCAATCTATTGCATGGGAAATGTTTCACATGTGATAATCCACATGCTGAAATATCAATTTAATCACACCTGAGATGTGATTCACATGCAATATAAAGTTAGAAGTTGGTGTTTTTATCTGTTTTACCCCAGCTGGCACAGGACATCTATATGACGTCAGAAAGATTTTGGACTCTTTCATCAGACAGGTGTTAAAGTTTGGTTGGAATGAAAATCAGGTTGACGATATTGAAATTTCTAACGTTAGAATTTCACATTGTGTGAACCTTGACGTTATGACATTTTCAGACATTTGGTTTTGTTCTTCATACCTCACAACTAAATGTCGTTATTCTTCGTCAACGTGACATTGGCGCGAGATGTTTGGAAGATGTTGGATTTTGGTTACTATACCAACACAACTTAAAATCAAGAATATATCATCTGTCAGTACTCTGTCAAATTGACGTTGGCATTATTGAACTGATGTTGAATTTTGGTCAACTGACATGCAACCAAACATCAGCATTTAATGACATCCATTGTCAGCTGAGACATTTAAAGCGTGAAATATCTGAATATCATGTAGCTAAATGTTGTAAATTCATCACATTTGAAAAACTGTTTTGCATGTGACTAGCCCCATGTGCTTAAATGTGATTTTATCACATCTGAACAGGGGTGGATTATCAGCTAGTGGGCCCCTGGGCACAGATATGCAAAAGCCCACCCCACCACCTCTCCGACAAAGGAGCAGGACAGACACACTTTAGAGTTAGGTTTTTGTTTTTTTTTGTTTTGTTTTGTTTTTTTACAATTAACAACACATTGCTTTGACCCAGTGCAGCACTCCTCATTTTTTTCCTCTCACTGTAACATTGTTTCGTATGTTTTTATGTCGTTTTGCATTTCTCTTAGGTTGTAATGCATCTCTTTGTGGTTTTTGTGTCTCTTTGTAGTCTTTTCATACCTGTTTGAGGTAATATGTGTCTTTTGAATCTGGGGTTTGTGGCTTTGTGGTCATTTTGAATCTGTGTAATGCCTAGTTCAGACTACACAATGTCGGCCCAATTATAGCCTGACCTGGGCGTCCTATGGTGTCCCAGCTCAGGTGGTGAACAGCAGTGAGTGTCCTGCGCTATAACTGATTGTTTTATCCTGCGTAGTGTGTCATTGTAGATGACAAATGACACTGCGTCTGGGACGCCTCACAGCATCCTGACAAAAAGACTAGCATGTTTGATTATTTTTTTTGCCTTCCACCACTACTCTCATCACAGCTGTGACTTTGACCAGTAGGAGCACATCACTCTGCTGCAGTGGCCTGAATCACAGTTTAAGTGTTGATAAATCAGTAGCACAATAATAGCTAACGTTAGCATATTAGCTTTAACTGCTTGCTTTGTGAATACACTGTGGTGGCTAGCTGACATTAGCTGTATTTCGGTTTAATTGCTGGCTAAAAATATGTTATTTTTACCTCAAGTTCTCTTTAAAGGATTGACAACCCATACTGTCCTCTTCGTGCTACCCAAGAATGGGTATAAGAATGGGCTTTTTCAAACACAGGACTGTCAGTAACTTACATAACACTTCAGACGCCATCATTTGTTTATGTTTTTGTTCCCAGATGTTGTTCCATAGCACCTCCTTCCAATGACATCACACACATCGTGAAAGACGACCAGCGATGAGTGATTGTGGACCATCTTTCGTGTCTGCTGGCCAAGTCACTGCAAGGTTTTATGACTGCAGAATTACCTAATCTGACAAAGTGACTGTTGGAATGGACAAACATATTATGTAGTCTGAACCTGGCATTCATTTAAGTGACGTCATATTGACGTCTGGTGCCCGCTGGGGTAAAACATAACAGATAAAAACACCTTCCTATAATTTTATATTGCATGTGAATCACATTTCAGATGTGATTAAATTCATATTTCAGCATGTGGATTGTCACATGTTAAACATTTCCCAAGCAACAGATACATATGAGGGCCAGGGCCCCCCCTTTACACTTTGGGCCCCTGGGCCTTCAGTAATCCTTTCATGCATCTGATATTGGATTTACAAGTGATATAAAATCACAAGTTGGTGCTTCCATATGCTATATGTTTTACTTTTCTAATGTGAAATATCTGAAAATCGTAATGATTGATTATGTCTTAGGACTTGAATTCACCACATGTGAAAAGCTGAGTCCCGTGTGCCTAAACATTTTTTCACATCTTAGATATTATTCACATGTAATATTACGTTTGAGTTTTTACAAAATAATGATAATAATTGTTGCAGCCCTTTATACATAGTTGCATTAGTATTTATTTAACATTATCAACAAAAACAGAATATTGTCTTTCTAAAGGTAGAATTTATGCAAGGGCTTTTATGGTTGGATTGTTATACAGGTGGCCACTGAGGGTATACTAAAATTAAAATAACACCTCTCTGACAATGCTTCAAAAAAACATTATAATCTTAGCAAGGGTTATTAAGTGTTACCTCAGCTCACTCAACTAAGATTTGTCTTCTGCTCCACAGGACACCTGCATACTGATGTGATGTCTGAGAGCTACGGCAGCTGCCCATTGGAGCAATACACCTACTGTGGCATCATATAGAAGGACATCATGTAAATTAACAGCAGTGAGGATGAATTGAATCAGCGTGACAAGGGAAGAGCCAACCAGTACTGTTGGGTGAGAACTGATGGGCTGTCCAAGCTAGCAATGCCAACTGCAAAAGATAAAGGTGGTTCAACGTCCCACCGCTGTCGGTCTGCCTCAGATTATGATGATGCCACCCTCACCCAGAAGAGAGAATACTGGAGAACCAAGAAACGAGAGCAGAGGGCCCGACTGACGGAGCGTAGAGGAAAGTCAACACAAGACAGTGGAGGGGAAAAGCGACATCTACATGCCCCTGCAGTGTTGAATTCCACTTTATCCGACTCGTTTCCTGCTTTCTCTACTCCTCTGCAGAGTAATGATGAGTCACACAAAACAGTCAATATCTCTCTTGCATCACAGAGTGGAAAAACAATGGGGGACAGCTCAGCTGACGCCGCCGAAAGCCAAAAGGAGAAGTGGCTTCATACAGCGAAACTCAACAAGGTCTTGCCTCAGTTGCCAGCATCATGTTCCATCTCAGTCAAAGCTGCTAGGGGCGACACAGCCACAGTGAAATCCCTTACAGCAAAGGGTGCTGTGAGCAGAGCCGTTACCTCACCCACAACCAGTGGAACCCAGCTAAACACCTGTTCCTCAGTGCCTCCAGTCAGAGTGACCACAACTACAAATGGCAGCTCCACTAAAACAGCACCTCAGCCATGTGTGTCTATGCAGGGTGCATCAGGCCCCAAAATGCGCCATAAGGCACAAGTTGCATCACGCATTCAGCCCAAACCCCAACCCACCAATGTGAGCACAGGTATGACTCTTGTGTCGTCTCCATGTGTCCCCATCTCTATTAAAACAGAGGGCAAAACAGCAACACCTCAAAGTGGAACAAAGAGTGCCTTGGTCACCTTGCGGAGGGCTAAAGGTGTTCGCAGCCCACAGCCTTCCCCGGACACAGAGGACGAGAAAGCAGCCAAGCGCAGAGAGAACTGGCGGATCAAAAAGCGAGAGCAGAGGGCTAAGCTGGCAGCTCAGGTAGCTAAAGCCAGAGAGAGGACGCAGAGCGTGGAGCTGACATTACAGAGGCAAACAGCACAAAAAACAGGACTTGTGGGCGACACCATTCTGCAGCATCTTCCATCCCAGTCGTTTTTGAGAGGAGCGGGCCAGAGGCAGCAGGCCAGACCTTCATTTACATCCGCCAAAAGGGAAACTGATAAACTTCAAAGTGGAGCAGCAAGTTTAACGACAATTAACATGCAAGCAGATCAGGTAAAAGTACAAAATCCACGTGGGAATAGGCAGACAGCCATCACATGTGATGTTATGTCTGTGAGAAAGCCAGGGGAGTTACAGAGAAAGCTTCCAAATTCTGTACACCTTTCTTACGTTTCCCGAGGGATTGCACGATGTAAAACGCCTAGACAGAGGCTCATCGAAGCACAGAAATTTTTCATGAATCAAAGAAACATGAGATGTAAATCCCCTTTGCTTTCTTCAGTCTTTGGTACTAGAAATATCCCCCAAATCGTCATATCCCCCAATGACACACCTGAGCAGATAATTGCCAAACGGCGAGAGTACTGGCGGATTAAAAAGCGTGAACAGCGAGCGAAGCTATCAATGGAAGTAAAGGCTCGGCTGAAGGAGAAGGACTCTCTCATGCGACGAGTGAAACGGTACCAGAAAATCCTCGAGGAGATGAGGAGGGCCAGAGCGCTGGCTCAATCAGGAGGGAGCACCCTCACCCACGCCTCAGAGACCATTGGAGGGTTCATCAAAGAGGATGGGACAGTGACCATTAACATTCCCCAGGTTCCTACAGGGCACAACACAGCAGCACGCAAAAGTGAAGCAGAGTGTCATGTAGTTTCGAATAATAACTCCATCACCAAACCTCAGCATCAACCTAACACTAAACGGAGAGCTATTACACCCATTCGTGTAACCCAGCCTCCACCCCCCCTCCGCCCAGCTCAGGTGAAAGTCTCTTTTCCTCTTGCTGGACATTTGGCCAACAAGCCTCCAAGACTGCTGTCAATCAGACCAAGGACTCAACCTGAAAGCACAACTGCTCCAAATTCCCACAAATTAGCAATCCAGACACTTAGTCAGCTCACACTCACTCATCCCCAGACCCCTCAAAATGCTGTTTCTGGAGGATCAGCAGCAGTGACAAACTTTGGTGGCTGTGTCATGAAAATGGCCGTCTCGAGTAGTGTGCCATCGCTATCAGCTCTCTCTTTGGATCCAGAGTTGACCGAGGAGGAGAGGATGGCTAAAAAGAGGGAGTACTGGAGGATAAAGAAACGTGAGCAGCGAGCGTCTCGAGCTGCTCGACTAAAGCAGGGTGTCTTACAAGCGAGGGCCAGTGCCACCTTACAGAGGAGGAAGGCCCAGAGGCAAGCAGCAGTAACCAGTGTGCCACCAGGCGGAAGCCATACAGGAAGTGCACAATCTCTCCCCAACAGCAGTGCGCCTGCTACGCCACATGCAAATGAGATAAAACACGAGAGTGAGTCTGTGCCAGAAGTTGACCTAAATTCTCAACCAGAACAAGCCATCTGTCCAGATATCAAACCCCCAACCTCTCCACCAACACCACCTCCAGCGCCTCAGCCGGAGCCTGACCCAGCTCTGAATGCAGACAGCCAAGCTACCACTCTGCTAGCTGTGGCCTCGATGAAGAAGCTCCTGGAAGAATCGCTTAGCACAGTGACAGAGTATAAAAGTGAACTGACTGATGTTAAGAAAGAGACAACAGAAGAGGCCTCAGAAGACGACATGACGCCAAATTTACCTGAACTGAATGAGGTGGCTCCTATTGCTGCTGACTTGACATTGGAGATAAAAAGCTGGCAGCCAGACACTGATGTCTTGGTACTAGAAAGTTCACCAAACCCTCACCTTAAGGACTCTCCCCAAAGTAGCGAGACACCTCCATCTTCTCCCACATCCAACCAGACAGTCCAGATTCCCACCTGTGAGCACTCATCCCAAACTCCTTCGAACTTCATACTAAACCCTTACATGGAAGCTTCACACAGCCCATCTTCACCCCGCAGGACCCAGAGGCTTCACACCAGAAAAGCAGGCCATCAAGACTGCTGCTCTACAGAGTCGCTACATCACCTACCCATGGATCAACTACAGAAACCACAGTGTGAACAACAGTGTCAGGCAGAGAACAGCAACTTACCATCAGCACAGAGATATCCCAGTGTGGTGACAGAGCACAGTGGTCTGATCAGCCTGCAGAGGAAGAGGGAGTACTGGAAGCTGATGAAGAGGCAGCAGAGGGCCAGGTTACGGGCCAGGCAGAAAGAAAGACATGGAGAATGTAGCAGTCGGCTTTCCAGCAGAAATATTCAGGTGATGTAACACATGAGAATAATGTTCATTCTGTACTATCTGCAACATGTGGGTGCTAATAGCCAGTGTTCTTACTAGTATTGTAAGTAGCTAATACTGAACATGCTTAATACACTATGTTTTGCATTGATTTAATCGGGTCATAGAGAGACACTCAGTATGTTTACATGACAGAGAAAATCGATTTATTGCATTAGTCTGACTAAAATTGGACTTTTAAAATATATGTAAACATGTTAGTCCGACTAAAATCATATTAAATAAAATTTCTCAAAGTCGAACCAACACACCCAGAGAATGTGCTTGGGAGGGGAATTACTCCTGCAAGTACAGTATACCATCAATGGGACCCAAACTGGCCGAGATGCTTGCTCTGTGACGTAATAGGTCAACCAGAAAAAGGTCAAATGCTAACAAGCTGAAGCAGCATTCACAATTTTGTAGCAGTTTTGTGAAAGCTGGGAGCTCGGGATTTGTGGTGTTTTTAAAACTGTCGGAGCCCATTGAAGTTACTCTGAAATTGTTAATTACTTTTGTTGTCTAATCTTTTAGTTTTCATAGCATGACACTGAAACACATAATTATTATGATTTATTAAAAAGGAAACATGGCACTGTCCGTTTTTCAGTCAATCACTTAGTAAAGGTGATCTCAACCCTTTCATGAAGACCAAGTTTGGAGAGTGGTGCAGGGATGACATTTATTTGCAGGCCAGCCCAAAAGTTAGCATCACCCCAAGTCCCTTCAACAAAAAGCCCATGGGATTTTTCCATTGAATTTTGGATAGTTGCAGAAAATATTTTGTGTTGTAGGACAAAACATAAAGCCTCTTAAGATTATGTTAACCACAGACCTTATTTCAGACATCTAATCAAAACATAAAAAAACAACATTGATTTTGAGACAAGGGAACCAGAAATGCTAAAACGCTAACTCATTTCTGGGTTTTAGGACTCATTCCTGCAGCTATTTCATATTTGTTAATACAACCTCATGAGTTCTACTTGTCGGCAGAAAATATTACATGACTTTTACAATGGGCAGTGTTGTTGTTGAACACCAACACTACAGTACAGTAACAGTACAATCAGCCTTTGTTAAAGGCTCACAATATTCATCTTTTGCTAGCCAGTAGAGCAGTTGTTACTCATTTAAGTCAGATCATGTACTGAAAACCCCAGGAACATGTTTTAGCTGTGAGAAAAGCCATTAAATTCCAGTTTGTGGAACAGCAGGGGTTAAATTTTGGCTAAGTGTATATGGATATGAGCAAGATCATTTAGTTTGGTTTTTCCGGTGTTGACTACGGATGTGCTCATGGGGATAGCTTCAGTCTTTTGAATTGGGCTTGAAAGAGTTATTTGTCCGTAGTCAGTGTAATACATACAGTAGATGGTGGTCAACGTGCCCCCATTTTGGAGAAGTGGTAGGAGTATCACCACTGAAACTAGGCAATGTGCTGCTGTGGACGCAGTCAGCAACAAAATGTATTTTTTGTTTCTCAGTTTAAGTGTAAGCTATATTTAGAACGCTTTCACTGGTTTACCTTGCTGCAGACAGCCCCTCCTGACGTGGAAGCTCTTGACCTCTTAAGTTCTCCATTTATGCTTGCATCAAAGTCACCAGACTCCACTGAGAAAATCAGTCATTTTAGCTTGCTGAGCACAGGAGCTGCTGCTCTACCGCTGCCTCAGTCAGCTAGTTTGTTTGCGTTATCGTGTGTCTTTGGTGTTAAAAGTGGTTAGTTTGAATTCACCAAAATTACACAAGGTCAAGAGCTTCCACGTCAGGAGAGGCTGTCTGTAGCAAGGTAAACCAGAGAAAACGTTCTGAATATGTGTATATATATATATATATATATATGTATGTATGTATGTATGTATGTGTATATATATATATGTGTGTGTGTGTGTGTGTGTATATATATATATATATATATATATATATATAATTTTTTTTTTTTTTTTTTTTTTTTTACCTTGCTGTATAAATGGTAGTGTAGTGCCTCACACAGCACGAGGGTTCCTGGTTCATGGATATATATGTGTACGTATGTATATAGCTTTTTTTTTTCCTTTGGCTGAACCCTCCACAGCAGTAAATTGCTTAGCTTCTGTATCAGGACTCCTGCCTGCTTCTCCAAACTGGGGGTTTGCCAACTGACATCTACTGTAGGTGGTTCTCTGACTATGGATAAGAAGGCTACCTCAGACAACCCCATTCCAAAAGATCCAAACTGACTCAACACAACCTAAACCACCGGGGAGAACATTTACCAGCTTTTGACCCCTGGTAGATGATGAACCCTGATCATATTAAACCCAGCAATGCTAAAGATAAGCCATGAGTCTTTTTCATAGGGACAAAGAGTTCAATGCTTGCAGCCATAGCCAGTGCCCTCTCCAGCTGAAACCTGAGTCATTATAGCGCAAACCTCTGTCTGGCATTTGACACTTGAACAGCAAAAATAGAGGGGAGTGAGTGTGACTGAGAGGAGCCTACTTAAAGCTAGGGGTAAACATATGTGCATGTTTCAGAGAGAGTATAGCTTGTTGCTATATTTAATAGTGTTTAGCTGTAAAAAAAAAAACTGAGATAAATGACATGTTTATGGTGTGTTGTTGTCTTTCAGGCTCCAGGTCTCGTCAATATCAACACTGTTAAGGGTGTGAATCCTCTAGAAAAACCAGCCCTTCAGCCCAAGCCACCCATTGCTTCTCTGACTGCAGTGACCAGTATCCCCACTGTCCTGGTTGTAAGCCCTTCAACATGTACCGCTGAGGAGTCACCTGACACACTCCAGGTCAAACTACCTGTCACCAGTGTCTCCTGTTCATCCAGAAGTGAGCAGAACAGCATGAGCGTTGGGCCTTCACAGATCATATCTGACTATCAAGGAGCACACGAGAATCAGCAACAAGCCACGCCAGATTCACAAAAGTGGATGTCTAGAAGCACAGATGTAGACTCTGTCCCCTCCCTCCCTACTCTGACACCCCCAGACAACCCACTTTCCAGCATCAACCTGCAACCCATTGAACCCCCATGTCAAAATCTAAATTCCGACCTCAGTCCAATAAAAATGCCTTATGCTCAACTTCAGAGCCCTACACATATGACACAATCTCCCCCCAAGCTGGTCCCTGTAACCACCATGGTCCCACCGAAGCCCATCCCAGGGGAGTGTGAGGAGGACTTTCTGAGGAGGAAGCGGGAGTACTGGAGGATAAAAAAGAAGGAGCAGAGAGCGAGGAAGGCCATTCAGGACAAGGGAACCATCCCAAGGAGAGCATCCAACAACTTGAGGCCTATCCTTCCTGCCCAGGACGTACAAACACGGGTAAGAGCTGTATTGCCGGTATATCAAAAAAAAAAACCTCACTCTTGTCTAATTATTGTGTACATATTAAAGAACAAAAGAAGACCAAAGATTAGCAGAGGTTGGACCAAGTATTTATTTTGCAAGTCATAAGCTCGTCTTTGCACGCAGTGATTATGATAGATTATTGTATGATAGTCTGTGTGCTGGTTCAAGTGTGTTCACAAATTATGTATGTTTTGATTCTAACATGATGGACACATAATGTGTTTATGACAATCTTTATTTCCTCTCTGACTGATGCCTGTAGGATTCTGATCAGTGGGTCAGTCGGTCCTCTGAGGAGTCACAGCATCTAATGAGGTGGGAACTTTGTTTTGGTTATGTTAAGATGAGTTTTGCTGCCAGCTTAATGAAGGATAATGAATGTAACTGTTCTGTCTCTCTTGCAGCACTTCAGAGGACACCGACCCGGGAACCTTTCCATTCCCAAATTTTGCAGCACAGGTGGAAGGTGAAGTATTACCTGTGTAACTTTGAACTGAAAGGAAAGCACAATAGAATGTAGAAACTGGCACAAACCATTTTCTCCATTTACTGTCTCCTCAGATGAGACAGAGCTTCTGTTCACTGACTATGAGAATGCTAACGGCGAGGAAGGTCCTGTCTCAGAAGCTGTGTGGAGGAACCGCTACCTCATGGACTATGATCCGCTCAACCAGCTGCTGGTGTGCATGGTGTGCGGGGAGCTGCAGTACTCCCACAGCCTGGAGGGAGTGAGGGCCCACATCGACGAGGCCCACCCGGATACACTGACCCTGGAGCCCAGGGAGCAACAGCAAATACTGGAGGCCTGGGACGAGCAGGTGTCCCAGCGGGAACGCTTCTTCACCAGCCAGCTACAGCAGCACAGCGAGGCCCTGGCAGGTACAATACAAAAAATAAACAATTTTTCCTTTTAAGAATGAAAAAAGTTTAATTCATAAGCAATACAGGTAGTCAGTAAAAGTCAGATCTTTAACATAAGTAAAAGTAGCAATACTACAGTGCAGAAATACTGTGTTGCAAGTAAAAGTCCTGCATTAAAATTTTTACAGTAAAAGTACAAAAGTAGTGGCATCAAAATATACTTAAGGTACCAAAAGTAAAAGTACTCCTTGTGCAGAATACGGCCCATTTCAGAGTAATATATATAATATCATTGAATTATTATTATTCATGTGTTCATCACTTTAACTTGACTCAGCTAACTTTTTCTTCTAAGTCCTTTTCTGTATTGCATGTTCCACCGTGGATAGTGCCCCCTGTGTGAAGGCAGGATTCTTAGCTGATCAATATTAATATATATCAATAACAGCCATGACATTGTCAATGCAGCGTTTATTGGCAACCAAACAGAAGGGCGACTGCACTTTTATCAGTTGTAAGGCGTAATGTAAATAGTATACAATATAGTACACCACATAGCATATGGCATAGTGTATCGTGTTGTGTACGGCATAGTATACAACGTAGCGTACACTGTAGTGTATGGTGTAGTGCACGATATAATGTACATAGTTACTGGTTACTGTACAGCAAGGTGTCATCGCAGTGTACGGTGTAGTGTACAGCATAGTAGTATAGTATGTGGCGTAATGTACACCGTAGTGTCCGTTGTAGTGTATTGTGCAGTGTATGGCTTAGTGTATATGTAGTGTACATGGTGTGATGTATGGTATCATGTATGGCGCAGTGTACACCATAGGGTACACTGTAATGTACGGTTCAATGTACACCATAGTGTACGGAGAGTGCAGTGTAGTGTAAGGTGCTGTGTACAGTGTAGTGTACGGAGTTTAAGGTGTAGTGTACATCATAGTGTATGGGGTGCGCAGTGTAGTGTATGGCTTTGTGTGAACGTAGTGTACAGCGTAGTTTTTCAGACATTTGCAGAATTTTTTTTTTAAAAATCTGGGTCCAGTGAAGAAAAAATGGAGTTGCTATTGATGGTAGCTTGGCCATTTAAAATTTATAGTTTTGTGCAGGTTGCCCTGTGTCACACAAGTGATGGTTCTCTCTGACCAATCAGTGGTCTGCAATGTTTTAACTCCGCCTCCTAGTATCGGCTCAGTTCACTTTGAACCTCAACTGAGGTGGTACCAAAAAACAGTAATGGGTATGAACGCCAACTTTTGCTAATGGAAAACCAAAAGTTGAGTAGAGCCGTGTTGTATCGTGCAGTGGAGTGCAGTATTAGTCATTTAATCTATTGTTGATATAGAAATGATGATTGGTGCAGTTTTAAAGCAGCTGACTCTAAGGAATCATAGCACATGAGATGTTTTATTGTCTGACAGGCATATGGCTGGTGATGCTTTAGATTTATGCCCTCAGAGAATGATCTCTCTCTGTTTTTTTTTCTATGAAGATTGGAGAAAAGTATGAAACAGCTAACATCATTCTGTATCTCTGAAGGGTGTTTGTTTTCTTTCCTGTTCTACCAATGAGTGCTGCCCTGAAACCAGCTACTGGTCAGGCTATAGAGCAGAGCCGTTAGTGCGCTGTTTGTTTAAGACTATGGGTCAGTTAGTTTCACTTGCCAAACCTGTCGGTCTTGTTTTGCAGAAGAACAGCGGGACTGAAGAGCAGAGGAGGACTGCAGGAGACAACTGAAGACCACGGAACCACACTTTATTTGTCTTATTTATTTATTGTATTTTTTAAACAAATTTGCTTACCTTCATAGAAAGTCACCTTGAAGGAGAATGCTGTAAAGGGAACATTCACTCCAAAAACAGCTTTACCTCATTTCCTACCAGGGTTGTAGTGTGGGCCTTTGAAAGTCAGTATGGACATTTTTTCTTTACAATGAAGCCACCAGAACTGAGATTTTGTAATAATATTTAAAATATTTAAAGAAGAAGTCCAATATTCTGGGAAATACAGTCTTTGTACTAAGCATCCTGGACCTATTTCTGTAGTGAACACACAGATAACACTTAGAATGAAATCACTTTCATATTCTTGCTCTATTTCCTAAAGTTTTTAATTGTTCTGTAAGTTTGTCCGTTTTAAACCTCAAACAGTGTTTCCCACAGACCCTAACCTGATAGAAACTCAGAACATTTTGACCATCACAGGAGAAATAAAGCCCTCCTTTAAACAGACTGTGTAACTTGTGAACATAGCCACCATGTCAACAAATGGCAATTACAGGATGAAGATAAATTTCTCTCATTTCCCAAGATTCTCTTGAGTCAGCTGTTTCAAAGACATCATTAGGTGACCTGACTGAGAGCAAGCAAAATAAATCCAATTAAGTATGCTGTGTTTAGCTCTCTTTCACTTTTAGCACTAAACCATAATATGTATTGGCAACATGCTTAAAGATAGTCCTATGTGTGACGTCAGCACTCTATCTAACTCTGTGACTCAGTCACATAGCATTTCCTATGCAAACCACACAAGAAAAATCAAACACGATATATTTTTTTTACCTGTTATTCAGCACTTAGTTTTATCTACAAAGGTGTTTTCAAAAGGGGAGGGTGATACCACAAAATTAGGTTTTGATCCAATATTAAGCAATACAGGATTCCGCCAATACCGATATTGATGCCAATACTGATTTATATATTATTAAAAGCAGCTTCTGTACTTCCATGTTGGGGAGAGTAGTGTGTCATGATTTATGAGCTGAATAATCAATCTGCTAAAGTAACAGCTAATAATAACCAATTACAGTTTGAAAATGTAACATTAACCATTGCTGAAGATTCAATTTAATTAAAATTAATTTCACCACTGTAGGATTATACTCAAATATTCCCTGCCTGAGGCTCTCTGAGCAGACTCTTCCAGTGAACTCTGTCTCCACGTCAGAGGTCTGGATGCTGAGACATTTCCCTCCCCCTCTCTTCTTTGCAGCTCCAAGTTCTCTTTCTCATGTTTTTTTTTTCCCCTTTCGTTCAGCCATCACTGCAGTCATGTGTCGGATAAGATAGTCGGGGTGTGTGCTGCTGTGTGTGCAGCGGTGCGTTGCAAGTATTGTTTAAGTGCACACAAGATAGCAGCAATGGAGAAGCAAAGAGTACATGCACTACATGTGTTCACAACAACCAGTTATACTCTTGAAATTCAAATGTTTAAAACAAAGAAGTAAGAGACCAAACCTTTATTTATCAATTCTATTGATGCTAGGATCAGTCTTCAAAACAAAACCTAGTATCTGTAGTGTCGATACTTTGGTATTGATCAACCCTCCCCTGATTTCAAACCTTTTGATGAATAACAGGTGAAAAATAGGGCTAATGTTTTCATATTTCCCGTAAGGTTTGCAAAAGTAACTGTAACTAAATCACAGAGTTAAGATCTGGTCACACCCGAAAGTTACAGGAAAATTGTGAAAAAATTGTGCTTCTTTTCTAAATATTTGGAAGAGGCTTGGTGACCACGCTACTCTGTGAACTACAAGAGTGGGTTTTATTACTTACCTTATTCCGTGAAAAGAAAACTGTGGGACACATCACTGCTTTCAAATTGAGAATTAATGTACATCGATCAGCCAAAACATTAAACCCACTGGTGGGTGAAGTGAATGACACTGATCATCTTGTTACAGTGCAATGTTCTGCTGGGAAACCTTGAGTCCTGGCATTCATGTGGATGCTACTTGATGTGCTCCACCCACCCAAACACTGTTGCAGACCAAGTAAACCCCCACATGGCAACGGCAATGGTCAATGGCAGTGACCCCTCAGCAGGACAGTGCATTGTGCCAAGCCACAAAAACTGCTCAGGAATGGCCCCAGGAATGGGACAAAGAGCTCAAGGCATTCACTTGGCCTTCAAATACCCCAGATCCCAATCTGACCAAACATCTGAGGGACATGCTGGTACTCCAGAGGTACCCCTTATCCATGGTGGGTCCTCCCTGGACCGGACTTGGCTCTGACCTGTCAAGACATGGACACAGTACCTCTTGAAGGTGGCCTTTGGTGCCTGGCATCAGGGCGTTACTTTCAGATCTTTTGAGTACTGTGGGTTGTGAGCTGGGGTACCAGCACATCTTACAGATGTTTGATCAGATCGGGATCAAAGGAATTTGGATCTCATTCCTCGGACCATTCCTGAGCCGTTTTTGTGGTGTGGCATGGCATATTGTCCTGTTGGGGTTGCCACTGTTACTGAGGAGTGCTGTTGCCATGAGGGGGGGTACCTGGTCTGTACTGGTGTTTAGGTGGGGGGAGTGTGTCAGGTGGCATCCATGTGAATGTCAGAGCCCAAGGTTTCCCAACAGAGCATTGCACTGTAACAAGATGATCAATGTTGTTCACTTCACCTGTCAGTGGTTTTATTGTTTTGGCTGATCGGTGTATATCGAATATTGTTGAACTGTTCAACAAACAAATATATGGGTTTAAGTCATTAAAATGTCAGGTTTTGATCAATGTGTTTCCATAGCTGAATCACATCAGAGCCGAACAGCACTCACACATTGATATCTAACTTACAATAAATTAACCAGTAAATTTAGACCTAACCTCCCTGTATCAGCCAGCTATCAGAAAAGAAACTGTGATACATAAACACAGCACAAGAGTGAAACACTTTATATTTAAGTTAATTTGCTCAAGCTGACCGTTGCTATCAGTTTTATATAAAGTTTGGTCTGCACTTCCTGCAGGCTTACATTCAGGTCAGAGATTGTTCTAGTTCCTTGTTAGCTACTGTTGGATTGTTGCATGGGTGTCTGGAAGTGTTCCATATGATTTTGTATGAGATACTGCACCATGCTGTTCTTCAAACCCTGGACCTTACTCGTGTTCCTGGATGACAGCTTTTTGCAACTTTTTTACAACCTTCTCAGCTGTGTAAAAACCTCCTGCAGTTCATATCAGCTTCACCATGTGACGTCAAACATCCAACCAACCCTCTGCACTGTAAATACTATAGTGGTTATGAGATGCCAAATGTTACTTTGACTGTGCTGTTTCACCATTTTTTGAGCTATTTTATTCATTATTTATTGAATTTCCTTCTATATAAGGATTATTGATGGTGCATTATTCATATCTGTAGAGAGTTCCATGTTAGAAACATTTCTCATTTGTGAGTATTGAGGATCCAAAGGCTTTCCTGCATGAGTAGTTAAAGGATGAACAGTTGTATATCAGATATGATCTCTGGAATGCATTCCCATGTTTTTGTATGATTTTCATTATTAAGAGTAAAATGCTGAAATAATGTTCTGTTTGAGCACAAAGCTGTACAGGTTGATCATGCTTGGAGAAAATGCCTGCACAGCTGCAACGAGGTGTAAATAGCTGGAAGTGACCAAGCTATTTTACCTTCTGAGAATGTAATTCTGACTTGATGACTTGTTTACCAGTTCAAAGGGAATGTTTAAATGCCTTTTCAGTAATAAACCTTTTCTACCTTTGGGCTTATTCCGTGAGATCTGTCTTCAATTTCAAAGCTTTATAAATACTCTGACTCCTGAAACCTTGTCCCAACAATCAGCAGCCATGGGCTCCTCTAAAGAGCTGCCTAGCACTCTGAAAACTAAAATAACTGATGCCCACAAAGTAGGAGAAGACTACGAAAGATAGCAAAGTGTTTGTAGGTAGCTGTTTCCTCAGTTTGTAATGTAATTAATAAATGGCAGTTAACAGGAACTGTGGAGGTCAAACTGAGGTCTGAAAGACCAAGAAAACTTTCAGAGAGAGCTGCTCGTATAGGATTGTTAGAAAAGCAAATAAAAACCACCATTTGACTGCAAAAGACCTGCAGGAAGATTTATCAGACTCAGGAGTGGTGGTGCACTGTTCTACTGTGCAACGACACCTGTACAAATATGACCTTCATGGAAGAGTCATCAGAAGAAAACCTTTTCTGTGTCCTCGCCACAAAATTCAGTGTCAGACGTTTACAAAGGAACATCTAAACAAGCCTGATGCTTTTTGGAAACAAGCCCTTACTAGGACTGACGAAGTTAAAATACAACTTTTTGTAAGCTATGTTCTGAGAATAAATGATGCAGAATTTCATGAAAAGAACACCTGTCCAACTGTTAAATGGTGGGTTGGATCAATCATGCTTTGGGCTTGTGGCTTCTACAACAGGACAATGATCCATAACACACCTAGAAATCCACAATGGACTACCTCAAGAAGAGCAAGCTGAAGGTTTTGCCATGGCCCTCACAGTCCCCCAACCTAAACACCATTTTAAATATATGGATAGATCTATAAAGAGCAGTGCATGCAGAATAGACCAACAATCTCACAGATCTAGAAGCCTTTTGCAGGAAGAATGAGTGAAAATCCCCCAAACAAGAATTAAAAGACTCTTAGCTGGATACAAAAAGTGTTTAGAAACTGCGATACTTGCCAAAGGGGGCGCTGCTAAGCACTGACCATGCAAGGTGCCCAAACTTTTGCTCCAGGCCCTTTTCCTGTTGCTATTTTGAAACTATAAAAGATTGAAATTAAAAAGTAATTCTGCTTTAAATATTGAAGATATGTGTCAACTTAATGCCTTTTGGAGATCACTTCATCATCTACTTACTTAACTATTCACTGTAAACCAAATTCTGACCAGGGGTGCCCAAACTTTTGCACACCACTTATTTTAAATTTAATACCTTGAATAAATATCCTAGTGATTTAGTACTATATTTGAAGCAAAAAGGGCCAAGATATTCTGATTTATAATCCTCTCTATGGGTCAGTGCCAAAAACCCTTAACACTACATTTCCCATAATGCAACAAAATATATTTATTAGACTCTGCCTGCTTAGCAAACAGTATAGACTGTATAAAGTAATGGACGTAGCTACTGAGACCTCACCTTTTGATTTTCAGACTCTTTTTTTTTTAAACCATTTTGGGTTGTAAATCCCCAAAACAAAGCAATTAACAAAAGTTACAACTTGATTTACTAGGAAGTAAAGCATATGTGTGAGGAGAGCATGAAAAGTGTGTGGTAGAAATGTATTCTTTTTGGGGTTTTTTTTTTTAAATCTTGTAAATCATCTTACAAGGCTGCAGATTTATTTTGGGTTCTGGCACCCGGTCTTCTTAACATAGTTTCAAATGTAGAGACTCAGCAACCTTTGGCAGAGACTAAAATGAGGAAACACACAGTTTTTTCCATTTAATTTATTACTGATCATTACCAGCATAATGAGTCCTCTGTAGGTTTTGCTCAGGTGGTGTGTTCCCTAGCTGAAATGAACCATTAGCTCCTATTAGTCCAGCCCCTACCCAGCATGGACATATACCTATAAATTAGAAAATTAGACTTATACAGGATGTCATTATGTCTCTGTCAGTCTTTACCACACAGCAGTTCACTATTTCATCCTCTGACTTCTCCTCGGCTCTTCCTCCACTGTTACTTCAGGTTCTTCTTCAGGCTGTCTCTCCTCTCTCTGGCTCTCTGGCTCTGTCTTGTGGTGGTGAGCTGACTCTGTGTCAACCGCAGCCTGCAGCTGCTTGGGCCCGGCGTCCAGGCGGAACAGAGTGGGGACCTGACCCAAGATGGGATTGTTCTCCTGGAGGCCAGAGATCCATTGGTTGAGAACGGCCTGGTCTCCCTGGCTGGTCATACACATGGCAAAGACTGGACCCTCATCCACTGGATACAAGACACACAACAGCTGCATTACACACTCAATATGAGGTTCAATATGCTTGCATACTGGAGGTCAAAAATAAGGGACAAACAAAAGAATCAGCCTGATATCTTCAGTGTCTTACAGTCTTCCACATCGAAGCTCTCGTCATCTCCAAGGTCCACGTCTAAATCCAGGTCTAGCTGTAGAGGATAGTCAAAACACCTCTCTGGATCATAGGGCTCCTCGACCTGTGGCGGGGACATACATACATACATACATACATACATATACAGTGCCCTCCAAAAGTATTGGAACAGTGAGTCCAATTCGTTTACTTTTGTTGTAGACTGAAAACATTTGGGTTTGACATCAAAAGATGAATATGAGACAAGAGATCAACATTTCAGCTTTTATTTCCAGGTATTTACATCTGGATCTGATACACAACTTAGAAGATAGCATTATTTGTAATGGAACACAAAATTTTTAGGTGAGCAAAAGTATTGGAACATAAAAACTTAAAATAGATTAAAGTGAATGAGACTTAATATTTAGTTGCAAATCCTTTGCTTTCAATAACTGCATCAAGCCTGTGACCCACTGACATCACCAAACTTTGCATTCTTCTTTTGTGATGCTTTTCCAGGCTTTCACCGCAGCCGCTTTCAGTTGTTGTTTGTTTTGGGGGGTTACTCCCTTCAGTCTCCTCTTCAGCAGGTAAAATGCATGCTCTATTGGGTTTAAGTCTGGAGACTGACTTGGCCAGTCTAAAACCTTCCACTTCTTGCCCCTGATGAACTCCTTTGTTGTTTTGGCAGTGTGTTTTGGGTTGTTATCTTGCTGCATGATGAAGGATCTCCCAATCAGTTTGGTTGCATCTTTCTTTAAATTAGCAGACAAAATGTTTCTGTAGACTTCTGAGTTCATTTTGCTGCTGCCATCATGTGTTACATCATCAATGAAGATGAAAGAGCCCGTCCCAGAAGAAGCCATGCAAGCCCAAGCCATGACATTACCTCCACCGTGTTTCACAGATGAGCTTGTATGTTTGGGATCATGAGCAGATCCTTTCTTTCTCCAAACTTTCACCTTTCCATCACTTTGGAAAAAGTTAATCTTTGTCTCATCAGTCCATAAAACTTTTTCCCAGAATTTTTGAGGCTCATCTCTGTACCTTTTGGCAAATTCCAGCCTGGCCCTCCTATTCTTCTTGCTAATGAGTGGTGTGCATCATCTGGTGTAGCCTCTGTACATTTGTTCATGAAGTCTTCTGCGAACAGTAGATTGTGATACCTTCACTCCTGCCCTCTGGAGGTTGTTGCTGATGTCACTAACAGTTGTTTTAGGGTCTTTCTTTACAGCTCTCACAATGTTTCTGTCATCAACTGCTGATGTTTTCCTTGGTCTACCTGTTCGATGTCTGTTGTTTAGTACACCAGTGGTTTCTTTCTTCTTCAGGACATTCCAAATGGTTGTACTGGCTATGGCCAATGTTTGTGCAATGGCTCTGATTCATTGTCCATCTTCTCTCAGATTCACAATTGCTTCTTTTTCACCCATAGACAGCTCTCTGGTTTTCATGTTGGTTCCACCTCTAAATGCAGTCTGCACAGGCAAAACCTATCGTACCCAATCTGAAACTGAGCTCAGACATTCAGTGCTATTTATTGTTTGAATAATCAATGTAATTGGGAGACACCTGGGCAACAAAACACACCTGTCAGTCACATGTTCCAATACTTTTGCTCTCATGAAAAATGGGTGGGTTCAAACAAAAGGTGCTATCTTCTAAGTTGTGTATCAGATCCAGATGTAAATACCTGGAAATAAAAGCTGAAATGTTGATCTCTTGTCCCATATTCATCTTTTGATGTCAAACCCAAATATTTTCAGTCTACAACAAAAATAAAGGAATTGGCCTCACTGTTCCAATACTTTTGGAGGGCACTATAGCTGGATGAGCTCAATGCTATCTTTAAATGTTTTCAAGAGGAAAGCACTCACAATGCACCTATCTCCAGCTGTCTGTTTCTATCATTTCTGTTAACTTCTCCAACTAGACAGTTGAAGATCACTGACCTGATCAAACAACAGAATGAAACTATGCCCTTTTGTCTTATTAGAGGGTAACTGCTAAGTGACTAATAGGAACAACATTATTGAAACTGATCCAGTGAGTGAGATTGCAGCCGGCAGCCGCGAAACAGGCTGCATTATACACTCACTGGCCACTTGCGTAGGTACACCTGTTCAACTGCTTGTTAACACAAATAGCTAATCAGCCAATCACATGGCAGCAACTCAATGCATTTAGGCATGTAGACATGGTCAAGACCACCTGCTGAAGTTCAAACCGAGCATCAGAGTGGGGAAGAAAGGTGATTTAAGTGACTTGGAACGTGGCATGGTTGTTGGTGCTAGATGGGCTGGTCTGAGTTTTTCGGAAACTTCTTATCTACTGGGATAGTAGACTTCAAAAAAAAAAAAAAAAAAAAAAAAAAAAAGGACTCATACAGAAGCAATTCCTCTCAATCATCAGCACAGTGAGGTTGGAACTACATAGCCAACCAAGTAGCAGCACACATACAAGTCCAGAAGAAGCTGTGAAAATTGCAGAAACAGCACCACAGTAAAGAAAATATAGTAAGGCGTAATACCAAGCGGACAAAGCTTATATCAACAGGAAGGTGAACCTGGGGTTGGCCTTAACTTTAACTTCTGCTGGCGAGCACTGAAGGAGAAGATGGGGATAAAGAGTTGAAGGAGTTTTCTGTTGGACACACAGGTGCTGTCGGTTAGCTTAGTTAGCTTTTCTATCTATCTAAGTGTAATGTTTCTACAATAATACAGTAGCTTGCAGTGTACATACAAGCAGTATAGAGGGGAGGGGCGAGGTTTGAATGATCTGTTTACAAACAGTAACTGACAATTCCTGCATAGTATACCTTAACAGTATTTAATATCAGATAATAGCAGAGGGTTTGCCCACCTTTTCCTCAGCCGGTACTGGGTCAGCTCTGAGGATGTAGTAGTACACACACGTCTTCCTCAACCACAGAGGGAAGGGGCCTTCTACAAACACGGGCCTGCTCGGGTTATGTTTGGCCAGCAGCTCCATCTGGCTGGGGCTTTGGATACCTGGTGTCAACACGGGAAGGAAAGAAAACAAGGCCAATGGGCAAAAGTCTCGATATTTATGGACACAAGCCCACCATTGTACCAATCTAACATGTATAAGATGGAGAGAATCCAGTTTCCTGTTGTTTGTCTGGTTTCCTTTACAGTTACGCTTACTGCAGTTACGTGTCAAGGAAGACAGTATCTGATATATGTCTGTCAAATGACTGCAATAAACAAAATTTTGATCAAAAGCCAAATTTCCTCAAGAGGTTATATCCCTTAATTTAAGCAGTCTGGAAAACCACAGCTGAAATTCCATGAGCAGTGTGAATCCTGTTGACCACTTCAACACATTAAAGTTGAGACGAACAGTTTCCATACCTACTATGTATGGCAGAGTGATCTCCTCTCCACTCTCTGTGATGTCTGTGCAGGGCAGCTGGTGGGAAGAGCAAAAACACAGACACATGCCTTAATTGGTTACAATGAAATAAAAAAAAACAGAAAATCATCATGGTCACAACAAAGCAGAGCGGTTGGCTATCTTTTTAAAAGTCTGAACTGTAGAAATGTCTCACAAGCAAGGAAAACTTCATCCAAACCACAATGACATTTGTCAGATTGACCTGTTAACACAAATGAGTAAAATCCAGCTCTAGTATGAAACCTTACTCAGCATTAGTCAATAGATCAGAATGGTTCAGATCTACACAACTGTGTGATATTGTTGAGCATGAAAGGCTCAATTTGGTAGTTTAACCAAAAAGAATGAAAAAAAATAAAAATAAATAAAACTTCACTTGAGGTCAATTAGCTAAATTCTTCCAGACCATCTTACTGTCGTTTAATACGCTGTGGAGAACTGTGAGATGTGGACCTTTACTTAAGATTGCACTTGACAGTTCTGGAATTATCTGGCCTTTAAATGGGACCTACTATGCATCTCTATATTTTGTTTTTTATATTTCATATTATTAGAATGGATTTTGACATCAAACGTGACCAAAGTTTCAAATAATGAGGTAAAGACGTGTAGAGGTAATGCCTGGGAGCAAAAACCTTAGGTTTCCCTCTGAACACTCTGTTTCCAACAAGTTTTTCTACTCTGGCTAAAAATTGACATCATAGTCTCCTGAATTTCTTTACTTGGTCATCCTCTCCAGGCATGCTACTTCAAGTGTTTACATTACATAGCCTACACTGCTACATGTAGCTACATGGTAACATCAGGAAACCATGTCATCTTAGTTGCTATTGCTGATTTCAGATCAGATTCCTGCTGGAACATGTCTGGTTGTGTTTAGAGGCTTTTCCTGGTGATTTTTCATGGTAGAAAGTGACGCTGCTCTCTGTTAAAGTCATTCTCCCGCTGCAAGTGCACTGCTAACATACGTGTAGCTAAATGCTCATGTTGGGGAAACAAGTAAACTTAGTTGCTGTTGTTGTTAATTTCTCCCTGATTTTGGATCAGATTCCTGCTGGAACATGTCATGTTGTGTTTAGAAAATTAAAGGGTGATTTTTCACGGCATAAAGTGACGCCATTCTTCGTTACAGTCATTCTGTGTCTATAGTGATGGCGCAGAGACGATGAGATATGATAAACCCAGAAATGCCTTCTAATCAGAGCAGACTGGGCAGGTGCTGAGCCACAAAAAATGGATGGGGAGAGCCAAAAGGCCAGATGTTTTTCAGACAGCAAAGATTATAGCTAAAGAGATTTAAATTACATTTGAAGAAAAATTAAAAACTGATAGCTGTACTTTTTATGTATGCTAACAAATTAATTGTTCAACTCATTTAATCATAAAGGATTCAAAAACTGGATAGTAAACCTCAAATGCACTTTTTCCTAATGTCCGGTTAAAGATACACTCAATGAGAGACTGTATTTAGAAGCTTGTTTCTCACAGGCTAGCCCAACAAGATGTATAGAATGTGGCTCTCTATTGCTCTCTTTGGTATTTGTGATCTTAAATGAATGGTTCAAAAATTTGGAGAGTACAATTTATTTTGGGAGAGGAAAAGATGGCTATCAACCCTAACGTGTGTGTAGAAGTACTTAGCTGGTGTCAGGACATAGTTAACCTCTATAAACAGATTCAGCATATAAACGCAAAATCTGCAGGCAACAAGACAAGATTTTGGTATTGGAAGTGATCTGGTTTGCAGGTGTAGTCCAAGTAGTATTAACTTATCACATTTGAATGGCAGGTTAACAGTCCACGTGGAGAGAAAACAGGCGGAACTGACTGGCCAGAATGCAATCTCGGAACCCATCGACTATCGTCTGACTGCGAGTTAGCTTTTTAATGCTTTTTTTTTTAATTATCTGAATTCATATGCAGATATCTGTTTCAAGAGATTGTCCAAAATGACCAGTACAGTCTTAGCTTGGATATCCGCTGGCTACACTGACGCAACCTTTAATATTGGCCCTCACCCCCAGGATCAGGCTTGATCGTCGTCAGACCTTTAGCCAGTGGGTTCCGAGACTGTAATTAGCCTAGCTTTGCATAAAAACTGGAAGCAGAAGCAAACCGCTGGCCTGGCCAATGTTCAAAAATACCCCTACCAACACCTCTAAAGCTCACTGATATGAGGAACAGTTCACACCAAAACCAAAAATACATATTTTTCCTCTTACCTGTAGTGCTATTTACAAATCTAGATTGTTTTGGTGTGAGTTTGGAGATATCAGTGTTGGAGATATCAGCCGTAGAGATGTCTGCTTTCTCTCTAATATAATGGAACTAGATGGCACCCAGCTTTTAGCGCTCAAAGTACTCAACAGCAATGTCTCTTTAAAGAAATCATGACCTGGTTACTCAAGATAATCCACAGACTTTGTTGTGAGCAGTTTCACGTAGGAACTAATTTCCGTCTACTGAACAACACCTGCCAACCGTATCATCACGCAGAAGGAAGAGTGCATCTACTCATGGACAAGAGGCTGGTGAGAATGCAGATGTAAACATTAATGGTGTCCTCCTCAGCTAAGCTCTAATGTTAGCTAGCTCAGCGGTGCTAAGTGAGCTAGCAGTAGATGCACGCGTCGTTCTGCACTGTGATGCCGTTGGTGCGTGTAGTTCGGTAGAAAGAAAACCGTTCCTACATGAAACTGCTCACAACAAGGTCGGTGGATTATCTTAAGTAACCAGGTCATGATTTCTGGAAGGAGAAATTGCTGTTGAGTTTTCCAAATGTATATATATATTTTTTTTAATTTGGACAGAGCCAGGCTAGTTGTTTCCTCCTGCTTATGGTTTTTATGCTAAATCAGGCCTGACTGCAGCTCTGTACTCCAACACAGACATAAGATCCACATCCATCTGAACATCTCTCTCTTAAAAAAAGTAAAAAAAACTTATTTTGCTAAGGTTTTAAAACAATTTCACTAAGGCCAATCCAAAGCAGTCATCTGTACCTGGTAGACGGTGACTTGAGCATCCAGGTCACTTGCGATGCGTTTCAGGCTGAAGCGAGCCAAGTCCACCGGGTCCTCAGGCAGCTGGTGGGGGACGGGGAAGGGATTTATGTGTTTGAATTTGGGGAACCAGTACATGATGCGCTGGTACTTCCTCATTGGGTGGCCCTTCTCTCCAAAGATCTGGACCAGCAGGACTTTGGTCTCCACGTTGGGCATGATACCTGAAACACAATCATTTAGATTGAAGATAGACACACTGTTGTATTAGTGTTAAATGTTAACATTTTCCAAAAATCGAGAGAGAATGCATCCAGAATCCTGCCATTCCCCATGTGGAACAAATCATTCCAGGAATTCCATGATCACAGTGAATCCTGTAGCAGACACTCACCATAGTTCTCCATCTGCTCCAGTATCTGCACTCCACACTCCTGCTGTCGGGGATAGTGATTGAACATCCGCTGGATAAAGTTTCTGGGCACAAACACCTCTTTGGGGAAAACATCCAGCAGCTTGTTGTAGACAGCCAGGTCTTTCTCCACACCGAACTCTGGCATCTTCCTCAAAGCAGCATAAATAAACTCCACGTGACCCCGCCGTCGCACGTCTCTCTTGAGGAACACGTCCACCACTTTGTTAAATGTGGCCTTGGTTTTGGCCCCTTTGGCCACCTGCTCAAACAGGTCATCATGGATCACCAAAGACCTGTCCTTCTTCTTGTCATCCTCATTCATGAACTCTGCAGGTACAGGTCGATCCTTGGCACATGCTGGGCTGCCGTGGAAACGCCTCAACACCTACAATTTGTTGGCAAGGAAAGAAAGGCTGGAATTTTACTGTAATAAGTGCTTCTTAGAGGGCTGAATGTACCCAGAATTGAAGACCGTCATCTTCGAGGAAAGGTCTGAGTCAGTCTTATGTGCTATTCTGGTAATAATGCTAATTCATTAAATGATCAATATTGTGACAGAGTCTTGTGCTATTAGTGCAGATTAAAGGGAAAGATTTTTTGAAGAAGGCTTGGATGGGGTACTTATCCATAGACAGTAGATCAAAAACAGCAGATGTCAATTGGCATGCCCCCAGTTTGGAGAAGCAGGCTGGGCTCCAACATGAAAGCTAAGCAATCTACTGCTGTGGAGGGATCAGCGACAAAACATATTTTAGCCACCTAAAAAAGTCCCACCCAAAAAAAACCAAACTATATCACGCTGTATATGCTATATTTTGAATATATTCACCGCTTTAACTTATTGTCAGACAGTGATTTCCAACTGAAAAATGAAGCCATTTCTCAATGACAATACTCTCAATCTAGCGTACACTTAAGCTGATATTTATTTTTTTTGGTGGGACTTTTTTAAGTGGCTAAAATACATTTTATTGCTGACCCCCAACCACAGCAGTATATTGTTAAGCTTCTGTGCCAGTACTCCTGCCTGCTTCTCTCAATTGGGGCCATGCAAATCCAAAATCTTCTGTATGTAATACACCAACCACTGATAAGTGCCCCATACAATCCAACTGTAAATAATCCGAACTATCCCTTTAAACGTTTACCTGGTGCTGGGTGTTATGCAGCATGTTAGGCTGACTGGAGGAAGTTGACTGGAGCAGGGCACCATACTGGGCAGCAGACCTGGCTGACTGGCCCAGCAGTCTGAGACACTGCAGCTGGAGGAGGCAGCGGGCACACTTCATGGTTGAGCCATCACACTGACTTTCAGGAAACAGAACTGCAGAGGCACAATAAACATGACATGGGTAGAATTCAGAAACACCTTTCACAAACCTGCAATCAGGGCACTTTGGTAAGTCTCCAATGGTGACGACACTAACCATGATGTATTCTGTTGTGTTAAATGATTGTGATGCTGACTGAAGAACAGTTGAATATTCACTTAATTAAATAGTGTTTGATGCATTTTTGTTAACCGACCTGAAGAGTGGCTCTATTTTATTCATTAACGTTCTTCAGTAACCTTCTGCTACGTATAAATATTTACCAAAAAGTACATTAAATGGGCACATTTTTGCATTAAGTTTGGTATTATAGGGGGGTGATTACAGCCAAGTGTCAGGCAAATATTATGAAGAACTGATATTCTGTAATACATGATTTACGTTCATTTTAGACTCACATAAACACCTTTAATATCCACAACTCAATACTCACAATTTATGCTGACGAACGTACAAAGAAATTAGTCTCCTTCAGAAATCACCCTCCGTGGACGCCTCCATGCTGAAAGCCGGCGGAACTTCCTGGTCCTACACTCATTCCCTTCCCCCAAACAGCAGACCCGCAACGCAAATTATTGTTCCGCGAATTCCTGTTCTGTACAGTAAAAACACTTTTGTGGATATTTAATTGTGTTGTATATTCCTGTAAATTGACTGTGGTAAAGGTGTGGTGCCTGAGTTGTTTTAAGCGGCATTATGTTACCCCATGCTATAAAGACGAAAACAACAAATGCACACTATATATGTTTTTAAACTAAATGTATTTGAACAAAAATATTTAAAGCTAAATAACATTTAATTCATTTTTAACGTCGTACCCAGTCATTTGTTTTCCCCAAACTTTATGGAATACGCTACGTTCAATATATGGAGTATTAATTATCCAGATTTCCATTATAAAAGTTGTAGGAAAATATATTTCATAATATAAAAATAATATACAATTAAATTAGTTCCAGAACATATAAATAGGAGGAAAATAAATAAACATGACAAAAACAAAAACCGTCAGGGTCTGCTAAACAGATAGAATAAAACTGAAACACCAAAATAATCTAATGGTTTAGAGTTTTAAATTTTCAATAGCCATCAAGTATGTTTTAAAGTCAGTATTTTGTTTTTAAATGGAGAGTAGTCTTTTAAGCCAAATCATTTTATGTATATAATATTTTACTAAAAAAAAAAAAAAAATCAAGTAAAGGACTGTGCTTTACTTATCAAATGAGGAGATGACTGGGGGTGCCTCCTTTTTTTTTATAAAAAAAAAAAAAATCTTGTCCCTCCCTGAAGCTACAAATATTTTTTCATCAGCCTCCCTAATACATGACCTTCTCTCCACCATAAACAACCATATAAGGGGCCATACACATGCCGCATCTTTAACGGCCTGAAAAAACACAAGGTCAGGCGCTGGGCGCTACTTTTGTGCCTTTTTTGTGCCAGCTTTCAAGAGCTTAACAACAAGCACCGAGTCATAGTCTGTTTACCCATAATCCTGAGTGCAGAGCTGATGTACCTCCAGGCGCTGTTTATAAGTGTGCGTGCATATCATCTGTGGGACAGATGTAAAGCTCTGGCAGCCCTGCAACAAAATGATCAACTGTTCCGTGTTTATTACCGACTGATATTCATGGAAGAAAGGAAAGATATCTGTCAGCTGTGACTGGTTGTTCCTCATCATGACATGCAGTGCACGCTGCGGCATTTCAAAGTTGACCTTTGTTTATCTCAGGTGCAGCCATCGTGCCCTGAAAAATAAAACAATTAAACAATGAATTTCTGGGAGCAAAAAATGCGTCATGTGTACGGCCCCAGATTTTAGGGTAACCCACGGATGAGTCTGAAAACCTGGAAGTGAGTTAGCATTTCAGCACTCATGGTTCCCTTGTCTCTAAGTCAATGTGTTTTTTATTTTTTTTTTTGTAATATTTTTTTTTTCCTAGAGGCCTGAAATAAGGTCTATGATTAACACAAGCTTAGGAGACTTCCAGGTTTTACTCTACAACATAAAATATATCTGTAAATACCCCACTAATTTATTTTGAAGCTTTTATGTGTCTTAAAAAAAGCAGTTGCTAACAAGTTGCTAAGTGAGAACGTCATCACGCAAAACATGGCTTACAGCCGTGCTGTGGGGGCAATGTTTAGACGTGCTGCCATGGTGTAGTTTTTTTATAGCCTAATGTTTGCGTTTTACTTCTGGTGATTGCATTTAGGCTTCAATAATCATGACAGTGGTCATTTGTGAAGTATGATAATCGTTTGTTTTCCACAGGGCTTATTTTCTGCAATGACCCAAAATCCAACGGAAAAATCCAATGGGCTTTTTGATGAGGAAACCAGGGCAATACTAACTTCTGCATTGGGCTACAGAAAAAAAGTCATGTCTGAGGCACTCTTGAGACATGTTGAATAAAGATACTTTGATGACGTAGCCTCCGTCAGCATGATTTTTTCAGGGATCACCAGAAAATTGAAAATTCGATGATAATTTCTGTTTTTACAGTTTCTTGATATGATAAATTGTGTCATTTTGGTGTTTTTTTTAATATGCCTTTCAAACCTGCAAGCAGGATTTTTTCAGAGGGTATTTAAGATAAAACAAAATACAACCACTTTAAGTTGTATTTCCCTCCCCAGAGCCAAGAAAAAAAAAAACTAGTTCCTTCCCAGTGTGCAAGAAATGTAGGCTATTTAAGATGGCTCCCCCTTTTGCACCACCCCCTGCCCCCTCACAAATAACGAACAGTCCCTAAATTACGTAATTGTCATTAGCCGAGAAATTGAGATCGTAAAAAACGAGTAATATATGAATTCGGTTGTCCCTGAGACTTACGATTGCACATGCACTACACAGCCCGACCACGTGGTGGCGACAAATGTCTTCCAAACAAATCCAGTCTCAGCTTTGATTTGACAGGCGCCGAGGTGTAGCCTGAAAAAGTTGTTGCAAGTTTCAAAACGCATTCGCGCACAACCCATGTAGATACTCTTCACTGAGTCACACACAGTGGCTCCAGGCAATAACTGTTGGAGAGAGTTCATAGGTTCAACTTTAGTGCAACTTTTTGACACTCAGAAAGCATCTCTGCACGGTGCCTTCCCGCTGATAGCGTCAAGTTAGCAACAATACGGTAAACAACTTCCGGCGGACGCTTTTCATTCTTTCAACTAGCAATGTGTTTGGTGATTATTTCGTTATTTTAACTGACTTTACTCGCGTAATTGTATACTATAATTTGACACTCATGTGATTCAGGAACTTATTTTAATACGTTTTATTGTTTGACAAACAATAGTGCTTAGTATACAGGTAAACTGCCTACGTTTCCGGTGTTCTTGTTGCTGAACGTTGCAATTGACACAAGTCCCCAGAGTGTGACTTCTGACACTCCTCTCTCAGCATGGAAAACACACCTCAGTGCAGACTTTACCTCTAGACAAACTTCCCTCAACTTAAACTTCGGAGTATGGATTCCTCTACAAACAGCTTGGGTGAGTGAAGCAACGAAAAAATGTTCTTTGTGTTTGTGTTTAGTGTTTTTATGTACTGACAACAGCATTATGGAAACTTGACTGTGAGTTCGGATATGCCGCTCACATGGTTATTGACACAACACTTTACCCAAATACTCCAAACTGGCAATAATTGTTGTTTTGCTTTTCGGCAAACGTACACGCGTCGGGCAACATGGCTCACGGCATTTTACACAACTGTACAAGTTTCAGGCTCGTTCAGCTCTGAAAGCAGCTTTTAATTTAAGAAATAAAGTTGTATACTTCTTTCCTTCCGCGACTCTTCGGTGTATTTTGGTGGAAGATCATAGTGGGGAAAACAGGCGGGCTCCTACAAATGTTGACATTTTAAGGAAGTTTATTGGCGCTTGGGGCACTTGAGCTCCACCAAATCACAGAATGGCGCTTGAACATCTGGCTGTCTTATTCAGCTGTGTATTTACCGTCCAGCAACGCCCTGTAAACTTTTCATTTTTCAAATAGTTTATGCCAGTACTTCATGTATCTCTGCAGGCTGTTTTGCAAAATGACAGCAGTACTTGTGTAAGTGTGTAGGTGTGAAGGACCTGTCGCATATCCTCAAGTGTTAGGAAACAGCTGCTGTACTTACAGTTTCTGCTGCGGGCTAGTTTCGGTTTTAGCGCGTGATGGTTTTAGCCTTGTGTTCGAACAGCTGTCTTTGTTTTGGCACGCGGGGTCAAGTCAAATTTGAGGCATGACTGTAACTTTATTTCCTGTGGTTCTTCATCTGTCTAGCTCTGTTGGGAATAATGTAAACTGGCATGAGAGTTAATTCACTCTATGGAACAGTGTTGTTAAAAATGAACGGTATGTAGGCCTAAATTACGTTTGGCGTTGGTGGAGTTGAATGAGTTCCTGACTGTGTGCAGGGGTGTAGCAACACATTCTTGGCCCTATGCATAAGTTGTCTCTGTGGGCCCCCCCCACTCTTTCTCTCTTGATTCATGCCTCTCTCAAGCACCTTTTGATTTTTTTCTCTAAAAAGTCAATTGGCTATTTTCCCCTTAACTTTCTTTCTTTTCCTTTTTGGAACTCTGATTTCCATTTCTTTGAAAAGACCCAACAGTATATGTAAGAGCTCCAGCAGCATAATCGGTAGCCCTCTTTCCACAGAGATTGTGCTGTAGGGCTGCTCCAAAGTCCCTTCTTCATGTTGCCTTTACATTTTTTTGGCTTTATTAGTCTGCTCTACCCACTAAGCAACCAGGTGCCCTGCCTTTACATTTTTGCACAGCAACAGTGGCGGCATCACCGACCACTCTAATGTGTGATATTTAGACAGCGTGCTGGCGCTGCAGAATCAAAAGAACCATGATGTGCGTGACATGTAACACAACTTTACCATCCATGTTATATGGCGGCTGATTTCGTCCTCTGCTCGAAGGGTAAAGAGCTCCTGAGCCTCATTGTTTACCTAATTTTCTGACATTTTCAGCTGCTGCTCTTCCTCTTTGAGTTAGCTGCTAACTGCTAACAGCTGCTTTTTATATCTCCTGTGGTTGTTGCAGGCATAACATGTCTGCTGGCTATCACTTTTATACAGAGGTCATTTTTGGCGCTGTTACTATCTCTGATGGCAGTAAAGGCGAGACAACTCCGTCCTCTCATTCTGTGATTGTACCTTTTATACAGCACGGTGAGGTGGTGTAACAGCGTCAGATTCCCACCTTGTAGAGGCAGTCTAAAAGGGGCTAGTCACTCACTTAGCTCTAGCTGCATTTAGAGACAGACCATGATCTGCCTTTAAGGGATGAGAGGGGCCTCAGAGAGCTTTTGCACAATGTTCAGTCTCTCAACTGATCTGTTCAGTCAGTTTAATTTAGGTATGGCACTGATTCCATAGAAATAAAAAAAAAAAACTGCAAACAAAACCAAGCTTTTCATTCCAGGCTTTTCAAGGACTAACTTTTTTTCCCACCTTCCTTCATCTGTCTCAATCTGGAGTGAATATGTGAACTGGCAACAGAGTTAGTTAACTTAATGAAACAGTTCGTTTTGTAAA